TGAGAACCTGGTTGGCTATCTGACGCTGACCTATGTCCCCAACTTGTTCGATATCCTGCCTATGTATCTGGGAATCCTCGCGCTAGTGCCCCTTGTGATGGCTCTAGGGATGCGCCACCCGGCCCTCGCAGGTCTGCTGGTCGCCGGGCTCTGGCTTGCGGCGAATTTCCATCTCCTGGATTTGCCAGCAGAGCCTTGGTCTGATCGCACCTGGTTTTTTAATCCTTTTGCCTGGCAGCTTGTTTTCTTCACCGGATTTGCGTTTGGGCTGCGCTGGCTACCGGCTCCACCTGTGAATAAAACACTCATCACTCTTGCCGCACTGTTTGTTGTTCTCACCATCCCCTTTGCCTGGTACCGCGCCTATAACGCGCTCCCATTCTTTGCGGAATGGAGAGGAGAGATTTCTTTTCTCATCAACAAAACGCGCTTTGGATTTTTCCGCTATGTGCATTTCCTCTCCCTTGCCTATTTGGCTTGGGTTGCAGCCGGAGAGGGCGGAAAACGCCTTCAAGGCGGGGTGATCTGGAACCGGTTTGTCATGATCGTGCAAAAGGTGGGACAACAATCCCTGGCGGTCTTCCTTGTGAGCCTGGTGGCAGCGCGTTTTGGTGGCTTCCTGCTTGATCAGATGGGCCGGAACTTTGGTTCTGCGGCGGTTGTAAATCTGGGCGGCTTTGTTCTGCTGATCGGGATTGCCTACTCTGTCGGGTGGTTCAAGGGGCAGCCTTGGAAGCTCGCGCCGAAGGCACCACAAGCCTGATCGAATAACTCACTCAGGCCGAAGATGGAACGGTGCCCGGCACTGGGAGCGCCGATGCGTCTTCGTCCTCAGGCAGCACGACGGCCTCTGAGGGCGACAGCTGACGATGATATTGATCAGCTAACATGACAATGGGAGGCGTCGTAAACTGTTCCGGCGCAACCAGGAGGCCAAACCGGTCGAACAAGGCCCCGGGACGCTGTGCCAGCAGGCTAGAAAGCGGGGCAGCTAGCACAAGTCCGGTGACCACAGGAATGAGCCAAAGCGTAATCACACCCACTGCGATCCCATAAAGAAGCCCGAGGCCCAAGATGGTTTCAACGGCATGGATGCGGAGCAGATCGCCGAAATCATCGCGAGCAGCGGAACGACGTTGGGCATTCCAGCCCTGTTCCAGACCGGCCAGTGTTTTTACAACCGCCAGCGTCTGTTGGACCATAAGAACTGGTGCAACTGCTGCCGACAGAAGCACTTCAATGATGAAAGAGGTCGCTGTGCGAGGACGTCCGCCCCAGGCTTGCGCGCTGCCGCGGCGGAGAATCTGGCTCAAAAACCCCAGCACTTTTGGTAGAAAGAGAACGCCGATCGTCACCGCAAAGATCAATTGCATAGGCGTTACGTCAGAGTTGATGGTCAGGCTGCGGCTCAGGCTTTGCCAATGATCTACAGCAAAGATCGATGCCATAGGGTCCACAGTTGTGAATAGACCCAGACAAATGAACATGAGCCACATGGGAGCTGCCATATAGGCCATAATGCCGTGAAGGAGGTGGAAACGACTAAGGGGATGCAGACCCGCAGCGCCAACCACACCGACATGCTGGAGATTTCCTTGGCACCATCGTTGATCCCGAACGACATGATCGATCAGTGTCGGAGGTGTTTCTTCATAGCTCCCGCCAAGCTCTGTCATCAGGCGAACTTTCCATCCTGCGCGGCGCAGCAACGCCGCTTCAACAAAGTCGTGGCTCATCACGACGCCGCCGAAGGGTCCGGTGCCTTTTAGATTGGGAAGTCCTGCGGAAGCTGCAAAAGCGCGCGTGCGAATGATCGCGTTGTGTCCCCAATAATTACTTTCGCCCGAATACCAGGAGGCGAACCCTCGTGCAAGAGTTTGTCCATAGGCGGCCGTCGCAAACTGTTGAAGTTGTCCGAAAAGAGTGTTGGTTTTGATGAGGCGGGGCACCGTTTGAATAAGACCCACGGCTGGGTCCGACGCCATCTCGTCTGTCAAACGACGGATGGTTCCGCCCTCCATAACGCTATCGGCATCGAGCACGACCATAGCGTCATAAGCGCCACCCCAGCGCCGCACCCATTCTTCAATATTCCCAGCCTTGCGACCCGCATTGTCTGCACGACGTCGATAGAACAGAGGCGCATCAGGCATAAGTTGCTTCGCTCTTTCGAACATCGCGACTTCATCTGCAGCAGCGACGCCATCGCGCGTATCGCTCAGAACAAAGAAGGAATACGCATGCATGCTGTCAGTCTCATTGAGGCTTTTCAGCATGGCAGTGGCATTTGCAAAGACGCGACCCGGGTCTTCATTATAGGCGGGCACGAGAAGGGCGACTTTCATTGGATTTGCGGGCCGAGGCGATGCAAACGTGTCGTGGTTGCGCCTTAAAAAACCAAGGATCACGTTGACGCCGGAAAGTGAAATCCAGAAGAAGTTTGCGGCAAAGAGGCAGGCAATGCCGATTTCAGATGGCGTAACGCCGCCTACAGAGAACGCCGCAAGTGTTTCGTATAGCAGCCAGAGTGTTGTAAGGGTGGCAATGAAAAAGACAGCTGCGCGCCTCAATGAGAGGAATCTGCGGTTTTCGGCTTGGTTTTGTTCCGGAGCAGCGGGATCTGTGAACGGGACATCAAAACTCTGGGCGGGCATTGCCAGCGGCGCCTCAGACGGCAAATGTGCTTTTGATGAGGTCACTGACGCGTCCATCGATATAACCACTTCTCGCTAGCCTGTTTCCCATTCTGTCGCAGCGCTATGCGAAACTCAGATGAATTCTCTTCTTGCGGATCATATTGGAAGGTCAAGCGAAGGCCTCCAATATGTGGGTTGGCTTCAAGAACAGGAAATTGAGCGATACCTTTGCTGGTGAAAATTTCTGGAACAAACTCATCTACAAATTGTGTCGTGGCAAGACCGTTCAGACCGTCTTGATGCGCATAGTCTATGACAACGATTTTACCGCCTTCTGGCCGCGCGCCAATACGGGTATTAATCACTTTCAGGAGACCATTTGTGACAGGTGCGCTGTCTCGCCAAGAGAGTGTATAGGAGAATTCATATCGCCCGCCTTTGAGAAATGGCGCAGCGGGGCGCCAGTATGCGACGATATTGTCAAACGTTTCTGTCTCGGTTGGCAGTTCCACAAGGGTGACTGAGCCCTTTCCCCAATCGCCGTGCGGTGTCACCCAGGCAGAGGGACGATCATTATAGTCGAGAGACAGATCGCCAAAATCTTCGAAGTCACGGGAGCGCTGAATAAGTCCAAAGCCTCTAGGGTTGCGGTCCACAAAGGCACTCTCCTGAACCCCTAAAGGGTTGGCGAGTGGTCGCCATAGCCATTCTCCCGCACCATTATTGATCGCTAAGCCATCTGAATCATGTGCACCGGAGCGGAAGTCGTCGAAGCGATGTCGGTTCGTCTCGTCAAACAGGAACATGCTGGTCAGCGGCGCTAATCCAAAATTGGTGAGATCGCGGCGCGGAAACAAAACCGCCGAGACATCCATGTCGGTTGTGGTGCCGGGTTGGGTTTTAAACGTGTAGATGCCGGTAATGCCGGGTGAGTCCATGAGTGCGTAAAGCGTGATCGGTTGATCGGCTTCCACATTTCGTTGAATCCAGAAATCGGTAAAGATCGGAAACTCTTCGCCGCTCTCTTCACCAATATCGATCGCGAGTCCCCGCGCTGAGAGACCATATACATGGCCTTTGGCAATCGCTCTGAAGTAGGAAGCGCCTTGAAAGACGAGAAACTCATCAAGCGTGTCGGGAGAATTGAGCGAGCCATGAAGGCGAAATCCGGAATAGTCGCCGCCAACCTCTAAGAGGTTGTCAGGTGCGGCCGCCCCTAGCGAAAAGAACGCTGGATCAAAGGGAACGGGGACCACCTTGCCGTCTTCGATGAGGTTGATGCGCACAGGATTGTTGAGAGCCCGCCCGGGCGGCAGCAGCTGGGCGGTCACGGACTCATTGGGGGAAAGAGGCAGAGAAAGGTCAGATTTAAACCGGATCGCTCTGTGTTGATCAAACGTCAGTGACGCCCAGCGCTCACTCGTCGGGATCGCGGGCTCATACGCGCGTTCTGACAGATATTTTGCGTGCTGGACAAGGCTTTCGTGCGTGAAAGGCGCCATAGGTCGCGGCAAGGGCGTGCCGACAATGTCCGCACTGTCAGCAAACCCTCTCTGGGCAAATGGCACACTGAGGGCAGTCGCCAATGCGATTGCGAGGACAAACGCGATATTTCTAATTCTCTTAGACATGAGCTGCCCGGTATCGCGAGGATTTGTGGAGGAAGTAAGGCAGCCGCCATCGCGGTCAAAGCCCTGGAGAATCTTCTAAAGCTTGAGATAGTTTTAGGAGAAGCGGAACGCGTCGCTCGCCAATGCGGGCCGCTATCGCTGAGATCTCAGATCGGCGCCGGGCGGTCTCCGTATTGTCCATAATGTCAGCTTGAAAGCCCTCCAGAAAGAAACTGGGCGGCACGTTGAGCACACCTGCTGCCTCTGCAACGAGCTTAAGGCTGAGACCGGCTTCTCCAGCCTCCATCTCTTCTATATGGGGCTGCGTGACTGACAGCAGAGAGGCCAGTTCAAGCGTTGAATATCCCTTGGCATTTCGCGCATGGGCAAGCCTGGAGCCAACATGTTTTTCAATAGTCGAAGCCATAGGGTCTCCGAGACGATCCTGGTTACTGAATAGATGGGGGAGCATTGGCTGGTTTCTAGCATGGGAGGCCGCCATATGCGTTCACGAGACCCTCGCTTTTGATGACAATTGCTTGTTCGAGCACGCGCCGTCGGATTGATTTTGAAATTTAGGAAACCAGTCCTATTTTGGGTGACTTATCGCCGTCAAAGAACAGGTTTCCCTTCACCAAACCAATGGCCTATGGCGCAAGAATGAGCCGGTTTTTGACATATCTCATGTAATCTGACGTTTTGTCAGTTTATTATCGGCGCCAATACAAAGAACCAAAAAAGAGGAAGCACGAGAATGGCGGATACACAGACGCTGGAAAAACCAACTGACCAGAAAACAGAGCATTTCGACGTCCTGATCGTCGGCGCTGGGATCTCTGGCGTTGGCGCGGCATACCATCTGAAGGAACAGTGCCCTGACAAGAGCTTCGTCGTGTTGGAAAGTCTTGAGAGCTTTGGTGGCACCTGGCACATGCATCGCTATCCCGGTATCCGCTCAGATAGCGACCTCTATACATTTGGATACAGGTTCAAGCCATGGACGGGCGCGCCAATCGCCAGTGCCGAAGAAATCTTGAGCTACATGGGAGAGGTGATTGAGGAAAACAATCTTGATGACCACATCCGCTATGGCCACAAAATCACTTCAGCAAATTGGTCGTCAAAAGATCAAGTCTACAAGCTTGAAGGTGTACGCACAGACACCGGTGAGAAAGTTCATTTCACCGCAAACTTCCTGTGGATGTGCCAAGGCTACTATCGCCACTCAGAGGGCTATACCCCAGACTGGGAAGGAATGGATGATTTTGGAGGCAAGATCGTTCATCCGCAAACCTGGCCGGAAGACCTCGACTATAAGGGGAAAAATGTCCTTGTCATTGGCTCCGGTGCGACAGCAGCGACCCTTGTTCCTGCGATTGCCGGGGATTGCAATCACGTAACCCTGCTGCAGCGCTCGCCGACATACTTCATTCCAGGCCGCAACGAGAACGAACTCGCCGATCTGCTGCGGGTGCTCGACATTGATGAAAGCTGGATCCACGAGATCACCCGCAAGGCGATATTGTACAATCAGGCCGAGTTCACCAGACGGGCTTTCGATGAACCAGAGGTGGTGAAAGAGGAACTGTTAGCGGGGGTGCGGGAATATCTCGGCCCTGACTTCGACATGGATACCCACTTCACGCCGAAATATCTGCCCTGGCGTCAGCGTATTGCCTTCGTGCCAGATGGCGACATTTTTGAAGGCGTCAAATCCGGCAAGGCCTCTATTGTGACGGATGAAATTGATCGGTTCACCAAGAAGGGCATTCTGCTGAAGTCGGGCAAAGAACTCGAGGCAGACATCATTGTGACGGCAACGGGCTTCAATCTGTCTGTGCTGGGGGATATCGACTTCAGCATTGATGACAAGCCACTTAACTTCGCCGACACGGTGACCTATCGCGGCATGATGTTTACAGGCGTGCCGAACCTCGTGTGGATCTTCGGCTATTTTCGTGCCAGCTGGACGCTGCGTGTGGACATTCTGGGTGATTTTGTCGCCCGCCTGCTCAATCACATGAAGGAAAAAGGTGTTAAGAGCGTTACACCTGTCTTGCGCGAAGAAGATGAGGACATGGAGCTTCTGCCGTGGATGGATCCAGAAAACTTCAATCCAGGCTATCTTATGCGCTCAATGCATCTCCTGCCGAAGCGGGGCAACAAGGCAGAATGGCAGCACACCCAAGACTATTGGGCGGAGAAGGATGAGCTGCCAAAGATTGATCTGGACGATCCAATCTTCGACTACAAATAGATCGGCATCGCGGTCTCACAAAGACCTATATGAGATTAGGGTCTATCCGGTTTACCCTCTTCCGTGGATCGAATCGCGGGGGAGGGTTTTTCGTGGACGAGCAAAAAAACGGGTCATCAGAGAAGGATGCCCAGAGGAGTATCTTCCATCATGAGGGAGAAAACCTCCCGAGCCATGGACACCATGATGAGGAAACACTCAAAGAAGACGTTGTGCGCCTTTATTGGCGCGCGAATCTGAAACTCCTTGGCGGTCTGCTCGTCATCTGGTTCGTTGTTTCGTTTGGTTTTTCCATCCTCTTTGTAGATGCGCTCAATCAATATTCCCTCTTCGGTTTTAAGCTCGGCTTCTGGTGGGCACAGCAGGGGTCCATCTACGTATTCGTGGCATTGATTTTTGTCTATGTCGTGCAGATGAAACGCATTGAACGCCGCTTCGGCGTCGACGACGACTAGGGGCGATCATGAGCACAGCAATCCTGACATATCTTTTCGTCGGCGCGTCCTTCACGCTCTATATCGGCATCGCCATCTGGTCGCGGGCCGGAACAACGAAGGAATTCTACGTCGCAGGTGGCGGCGTGCATCCGATCGCAAACGGAATGGCGACCGCAGCAGACTGGATGAGTGCCGCGTCTTTCATTTCCATGGCGGGTATCATTGCATTTCTGGGCTATGACGGGTCGGTCTATCTCTTGGGCTGGACCGGCGGTTATGTTTTGCTCGCGCTTCTCCTTGCGCCTTACCTGCGCAAGTTCGGACAATTCACCGTCCCGGACTTCATTGGAGAGCGCTACTATTCAAGAGCGGCCCGGATCGTGGCCGTCATTTGCCTGATCTTTATCTCATTTACTTACGTCGCCGGGCAGATGCGCGGCGTAGGAATTGTATTCTCACGCTTTCTTGAGGTCGACATTACTGTTGGCGTGATCGTGGGGATGGGCGTTGTGTTTATCTACGCTGTCCTTGGCGGCATGAAGGGCATCACCTATACCCAGGTCGCGCAGTATTGCGTGCTGATTTTCGCCTACATGGTACCGGCCATATTCATTTCGATTCTGATCACAGGAAACCCGGTGCCACAATTGGGACTGGGCGCAACAGTGGCCGATGGGTCAGGGCTCTCTGTACTCGCGAAGCTGGACAAGACCTTATTGGACTTAGGCTTCAGTCCCTATACAGAAGGCTCGAAGGCGACCATAGATGTGTTCGCCATCACCATGGCCCTCATGGTCGGAACCGCAGGTCTCCCCCATGTCATCGTGCGGTTTTTCACAGTACCCAAAGTGTCGGACGCTCGCCTGTCTGCGGGCTATGCGCTCATTTTTATTGCGCTTCTCTATACGACCGCGCCGGCTGTCGCTGCCTTCGCGCGCCTCAACTTCGTGGAGACCATCAACAATACAAGCTATGCGGAAGCACCCGGCTGGTTTAAAAACTGGGAAGAGATCGGTCTTATCGGTTGGATCGATAAGAATGAAGACGGGGTTATTCAATATGCAGCGGGCGCCGCTTTTGCTGGCAGCCCAACTTATAGCGATGAGAACGGCGCGAACGGTGAACGTGGTTTGACCAATGCGCCAATTGACAGCGCCAATGAGGTCTATGCTGATAGGGACATCTTTGTTCTGGCCAATCCCGAGATTGCAAGTCTGCCCGGATGGGTCATTGCACTCGTTGCCGCTGGCGGTCTTGCGGCAGCCTTATCGACTGCGGCAGGGCTTCTCCTTGTCGTATCGACATCGATATCTCACGATCTGTTAAAGAAAACACTGATGCCGGAAATAACCGAGCGCCAGGAGCTGCTTTATGCCCGCATTGCCGCGGCAGTGGCGATCGGTGTTGCAGGCTATCTCGGAATCAATCCGCCGGGATTTGTGGCCCAGGTCGTGGCGTTTGCATTCGGCTTGGCAGCAGCATCACTCTTTCCGGCAATCCTGCTCGGCATCTTCGTGAAACGAATGAACAAAGAAGGTGTGATCGCTGGCATGTTGTCCGGCCTCATATTCACCTTTGCCTATATCGTGTTCTTCAAATTTGTGTCGCCAGAGCTCAACAGCTCAGAAAACTGGTTGTGGGGCATCTCACCGGAGGGGATTGGCACGATCGGAATGCTGTTGAATTTCCTGGTTGCCTTCTCGGTTAGTCAGGCGACCAGCCCACCACCAGCCCATGTCCAGGATCTTGTCGATGATATCCGCGTGCCGACAGGCGCAGGAGTGGCTCACAAGCACTGACCTCCTGCTTTTCGGGCTTGGTTAACAGGAGATCGATCAGGCGGCGGGCCTTTGCTTGGTTCCCCCGCACTCTTTTGCCGATATAGGTCTGTCGCGGCCATAATTTCCCTGCTATGAGAGGCCAGTTGGCCGCACGCGCGGCGCCGCACGAAGGAAGAAGAATGGGCAAGTCGGCACTGATCACCGGCATTTCCGGACAGGATGGGGCGTATCTTGCACGCCTGCTCGTGGACAAGGGGTATAGGGTTTACGGGGCGCAGCGCCGGGGCGCGAGCCTCAACACAGCACGTCTTGAAGAGCTTGGCGTTTTGAATGAAATCGAAACGGTCCCTTTTGAGTTGTTGGAATACGCAAACATTTCAAGCGTTCTCAATCAGGTCGCACCAGACGAGGTTTACAATCTGGCAGCGCAGAGCTTTGTAGGCACCTCGTTCGACCAGCCGCTTTACACAGGCGATGTTGACGGGATGGGTGTCCTGCGGATGCTGGAAGTCCTGCGCAGTATGGGAAGCAAGGCCCGCTTTTATCAGGCCTCGACGTCTGAAATGTTCGGCAAGGTCAAAGAAACCCCGCAGAACGAAGAAACACCGTTTCACCCTAGAAGTCCGTATGCGGTCGCCAAGCTCTATGCGCATTGGATCGTGGTGAACTATCGCGAGAGCTACAACATGTTCGCGACATCGGGCATCCTGTTCAATCACGAGTCACCACTGCGCGGTGCGGAATTTGTGACCCGCAAAGTGACCCTGGCGCTTGCGCGCATCGTACAGGGTGAGCAGGACGTGTTGAGCGTCGGCAATGTTGAAGCTGAACGGGACTGGGGCTTCGCTGGAGACTATGTGGAGGGCATGTGGCGCATGCTCCAGCAGGATGAACCGGATGATTACGTTCTGGCGACAGGACGCACCACGAAGGTTCGCGACTTTATCACGGCTTCTGCTAAGGCCCTTGATCTTGATCTCGAATGGGATGGGGAGGGCGAACAAACGACGGCAACGGACAAGAAGTCCGGCAAGGTGATTGTTCGGGTTGACCCGCAGTTTTTCCGCCCAGCAGAGGTCGAGCTTCTCCTCGGAGACGCAGCCAAGGCAAAAGACAAACTTGGGTGGGAACCCACAGTGCAGCTGGAAGAGCTGACCGAAATGATGGTCCGGGCAGACTATGACCGCATCAAAAACGGGTCGCTTAAATTCTGAGGCCCAAACCTAAGGCAATCACCGCATCAACAGCCTGTGGCCGATATCAAAGGCCCTTTCCAGAAAACCGGACAGCGCCTTTTTTGTTTCCGGAGCGCTCAATATTTCGTCCCCGGTTGCAATTGCGCCGACAAATCCCTGCGTGTGCCAGTGCCCGGGCGTTGGTGCGTCGGGCAGCTTTGCTGGGTCAAGGTGCGGCCAGGGATTGACATAGAAATAGGGTTGGCCATAGCTCTCATCGCCGGGCGACATGCCAACACCGATGCCTTTGGCTGTTTCAGCATCGCCCGCTTCCAGGCTGACATAGGTGGCAATATCGAAATGATGAGGCCAGCACCGCACGGGGCTGGCGCCTGGGTTCAGTCCGGCATGATCTGCCGCGAGTTTCCTAAAAGCCCTATCGGCAAGGTCGAACCAGGCGGCAAGCGATTTGAGGCCGTCAGGGAGCGCGTCGGGAATTCTTGAGATCGTCGCGACATCGTCCGGAAGGTTATAAGGAAGCGACACATTGGCGCCAGGCTCTAGCGCAACGCTTTCAAGCACGTCATCAAGCCAGGCTACTGCCTCCACGAGGCTGTGGCCTACGAGCGGGTAGACCGACGTGCCGGTTGCACTGTCGATAAGGCTGAGTTCGAAGGGAACGAGCGAGAGGCCAACATAAACCTCACCATTGGCCCCGGGAAGGGGCTGGCTCGCAAACCTTTGTGCGTCACCATCCCAGCTAAGATTGGAGTGGCTGTCATCGGGCGATGCTGCCAGATTGGCACGGGCTGCTTTTGTTAGAAGCTGTGCTGCTGCATGGGCAAGCGCACGGGCGGCGCCGAGTTGGGCAGGCAGTATTGCTTCGATGTGCTGATTGCGGGCCATATATTACCTCATGCCGCCATAGGCGACACCTGAAAGGTCCGCCATTTCGTGTTTCCAGGTGGTCAAATCATCCTGCGAAAAATGCGACAGGTGCGAGTGCCCGCAGGCACGTGCCATGACCTTCATAAGTTCAGTCGACGCCTCAAAGAAGTTTTTGAGTTGGTGGGCAGACTTCTCGATCACCAGCCGGTTCATCAGATGAGGCTTCTGTGTCGCAATGCCGACCGGACAATTGTTTGTGTGGCAGGCGCGCATGGCGATGCATCCGATGGCTTGCATCGCAGCGTTGGAAACGGCGATCGCATCGGCACCGAGCGCAAGCGCTTTCACAAAATCTGCCGGTTTACGAAGACCGCCCGTGATCACCAGTGTCACATCCTTACGCCCGGCGTGATCAAGATGTCGCCTGGCGCGCGCAAGCGCTGGGATCGTTGGTACTGAAATATTGTCCCGGAAGATGATGGGTGCGGCACCAGTGCCACCACCACGACCATCGAGGATCACGTAGTCCACCCCGACATCAAGTGCTGCATCGATGTCTTTTTCGATGTGTTGGGCAGACAGCTTATAGCCGATTGGAATGCCGCCCGTTCGTGATCGAACCTCATCCGCAAATTCTTTGATCTGTGAGACTTCCGTCCATTCAGGGAACCGCGGAGGTGAAATGGCAGATTCGCCTTCGTTCAGGCCACGGACTTCCGCGATCTTTCCCTTCACTTTGTTTCCCGGCAGGTGGCCGCCTGTGCCTGTTTTGGCGCCTTGCCCACCTTTAAAATGGAAGGCCTGGACCTTGCTGAGTTTGTCCCAATCAAAGCCGAAACGGGCTGAAGCCAATTCGTAGAAATAGCGGGAATTCGCCTGTTGCTCTTCCGGTAACATGCCACCCTCGCCAGAGCAGATGCCTGTCCCGGCCAGTTCGGCGCCGCGTGCAAGTGCTACTTTGGCGGGCTCTGAAAGCGCGCCAAAACTCATGTCAGAGACCATCAAGGGAATGTCGAGCGTCAGGGGCTTTTGTGCGTTTGGGCCGATAACCACCTCTGTTCCGACATCATCTTCGTCCAGCAATGGCGGTTTGTGAAGTTGTGCCGTGAGCAGTTGGATGTCATCCCAGTCAGGAAGCTCAGCGCGGGGCACGCCCATGGCATCGACAACCCCGTGATGGCCGGTTTTGGACAGTCCATCTTTTGCATATTGTTGAATGAGCCCGTTATAGGGCTCCTCTTGCGTGCCATGGCTCGTATCGGCATAGAGGCCGAGATATTCATCACGGTTGAACGGCTGAGGGTTCTTCTCCGCCCAGGCGACGATCTCCTCCGCATCGACATAGACTCTGCCGCCCTTCACCCAGGAGGTGAATTTTTCAAGAGCTTCAGAATTGTTGTATTCGGAAACGCCCGTGTCGAGCCGGTAGTCCCAGTTGTGAACGCCGCATATGAGGTTGTCATTGTCATCGACAAATCCGTCGGACATAAGCGCTCCACGGTGTAGACACCGTCCGTAAAAAACTGAGATCTCTTTGTCGAACCGAACGATCACGAGATCAACTGTGTCCACAAGCGCATAATGCGGTTCCCGGTCTTTCAAATCATCAAGCTTGGCGATCGCTACTTTTTTCATCACGGGTCCTGTCAGTGAGTTAGGTATTGTCGGTTATCAGTGGCTTGGCTGAGTGCGTAATGGGTTCGGCCTCGGGGCATTTGCCTTTCGACTCGACATGGGCGCCGTACCAGCGCGCGGCGGGCAAGGCGGAGAGGCCATGAAGAAAGGCGCTGATCCATACTGCGTTGATCGCGATATAGAGAATAGGCTCGCCTATCTCCATGTCGATCTGCTGAACAATCAAGAGCGCAAAAAGCGCCGTCGCGAGACCTCTGGGACCGAACCAGCCAAAGAACAAGCGTGTGGTCGTCGACGCGTCGGTGCCGATGAGTGAGAGCCAAATGGCAAGTGGGCGCACGACAAACAGACTGATGAGGATAAGGGCGAGTGTCGACCAGGTAAGGTGTTGAATTGCTTCCGGGACGAGCGCAGCACCAAGCAGGAAGAATGCCGCCCAGGTCAGGAGCTGGCCTTCGCTTTCTGTAAATTCATAGATGAACTTGCAGCGTCCCTTCACCACATTGCCGAAGCAGAGTCCTGCGACAAACGCGGAGATGAAACCATTGCCATCAACGAGTGTCGCCGCGAGATAGGCAGCACCTGCCAGCGCGATGGCCCCAACCCCTTCATAGGTATCAGAGGTGAAGTCCCGGGATTTCGCCCAGATCAGGACCCGTCCACCGAGATACCCCGTGGCGATCCCGACAAGCGGCCCTAGGATCAGCTGCTTGGCGCCGAAAAGAGCCCAGTCGACACCGTTTTGGTCCATTGCCTCTGCCGTCAGGCTTGCAAAGAGGAGAATGGCTGGCAGCGCAATGCCGTCATTGAGGCCGCTCTCAACCGTGAGAGCGCGGCGAGGACGTTCGGGCACATCCGGATTGGTGACTACAGCCTGACCAAGTGCTGCATCGGTTGGCGCAAGTATGGCCGCCATGAGAACAAGTGCCACAAGTGGCCATCCCGGCAGAAACGGCGCCGCGGCGATTGTGCCCAATGCGATGGTGAGGGGCAAGCCGATCAGCAGCATGCGCTGCGGCCAGACATGCCTTTCTTTCAGGGCCTCGAGGTCGATCTGCGAGGCATCAAGAAAGAGCAGAATGACCAATGCAATTTCTGCGACGAGGTGAAGGGTTTCCTCCGCATCTCCATGCAGCATCACGCCTGATTGGGAAAGGAGGAAACCAAAACTCAAAAAGACCATCGGCGCGGTGATGACGGTGGTCGTCAACCGCTTGGCAATCATCGTATAGCCCATCGTAAAGACGGCAGCGATCAAGAGCACCGAAGTCATGTTCCCCCCAGAAAGTCTGTGAGAGCTCACGCTCCCACCAAACTAGAACCAACAGGCTACACGGATAGAGGGGCACGCGAAATCACGACCACGGGGGTGATTGATCACATTTTCTCGCAAACCTGTGGGAAACAGTGTTTACTGGATATTCTGGGAGCTGAATGCTCACAAAAAAGGCTGTTCCTCTGGAACAGCCTTTTTATCACTTCGAGGATTGATGTCAGGTTTCAAGCTTAAGCAGCTTCTTTTGCTGCTTCCTGTTTTGCAGCCGACCCTGTCGCACGGGAAAATGTCATCGTGCCATCTTCCACCTTGCCGTAGCCAAGCGTCACAATATCAAGTGCATAGTTCTGGTGTTGTTTCCATGGGGCATGTGCACCCTGCTTTGGAAGAATGCCCTGAGCGCGCTGGATATAGCCTGAGGAGAGGTTCAGCCAAGGTTCTTCTTCCATGCTGTCATCTGCCAGCACTGGCATACATTGCTGCGTGCCTGTCTTATCCATATGATTGATCAGACGGGCAACATAGCCACATGTGAGATCACATTTGAGCGTCCACGATGCATTGGTGTAGCCAAACGACGAGGCAAGGTTTGGCACGTTGGAATACATGATGCCTTTATAACTGATCGTGTTGGCAAAGTTCACAGGCTTGCCGTCAACGCTCACCGTCATGCCACCCAGCACTTCGAGTTTGAGGCCCGTTGCAGACACCACGAGATCAGCTTCCAATTCTTCGCCAGACGAAAGCTTGATACCGGTTTCGGTAAACGTCTCAATCGTGTCCGTCACAACAGATGCCGTGCCTGCATTGATGGCGTCAAACATGTCGCCATTGGGAACGAGGCAGAGACGTTGGTCCCACGGATTGTATTTTGGTGTGAAGTGCTTCTCCACGTCATAATTGGGCCCAAGCGCCTCACGGACCTGGTTAAGCAGCAGCTGTTTGACCTTCCCAGGTGCTCTCTTGCAGAGATTGAAGAAATACATGCCCAGAAGCACATTCTTCCAGCGTGTTATCCCGTAGGCGAGTTTTGCCGGTAGGTTGCGACGTAGGAAGTTGGCAATCGCATCCTGTGAAGGACGCGCCGCCATATAGGTTGGCGAACGCTGCAGCATGGTGACATGTTTTGCTTCACCAGCCATCTCCGGGATGAGTGTTACGGCTGTCGCCCCCGACCCGATCACCACCACGTTTTTGTCTTTGTAGACAATGTCGTCAGTCCACTTTTGCGGGTGAACAAAACGGCCTTTGAAGTCATCAACACCAGCGAAGTCCGGCGTATAGCCTTCCTTGTAGCTGTAATAGCCGCTGCACATGAACAGGAAGTTGCAGCTCATCTGGATCATCTCGCCGTCGCGTTCAACGTCCAGCGTCCATTGCGCATCGGCAGTGGACCAGGCGGCATTCTTCACCATGTGGTTGTAACGGATCTTCTTGTCGATGCCGTTTTCAGCCGCCGTCTCCTCCAGGTATTTCAGAATGGACGGGCCGTCGGCAATTGCCTCGGCGTCGCGCCACGGCTTGAAGGAATAGCCAAGCGTGTACATGTCAGAGTCTGAGCGGATGCCGGGATACTTGAACAAGTCCCAGGTGCCGCCCATCGTGTGGCGGCCTTCGAGAATGACATAATCCTTGTTCGGGCAGTTCTTTTGCAGGTGATAGCCCGCGCCAATTCCGGAAATTCCAGCACCGACCACTACAACATCAATATGTTCCATTCGTGCGCATTCCTATAAAATGACAAATTATCAGTTTGGCGGACCATAGCACGAATCTGGGGTGCGGAAGCAAGGGGTCAAAAATGAACGGAAAGAGCGGTTTTTGAGGTGCTCCGGTCGACATGGACCTACGAAATCTCGATTCGAGCACAAAATGCAGAGGTCTTTTGGGGTGGATTGAGAGCGAATTGAGTGCGCTGGTGAAACGATGCCGCTACGGAAGCTTGGGCCTTTGAGGGCTCGTTTGAATTGTCCAAACTCTTGTGATGAACTCCGCCCGCGTCGCAACGGGCGGCGGCAGAAAAGTCGGAGGCAGTTACATGAAACTCTACCATTGCAAGGGCGCTCGATCAGTCCGTCCGCTCTGGACATTGGAAGAAATGGGCCTCGACTATGAATTGGAGTCGATGAAGTTCCCGCCCCGGTTCCTGCGAGATGGCTATACAGACCTCAACCCCATCGGAACTGTTCCCTATTTCGTTGACGGCGATGTTGAGATGACAGAATCCGCCGGCATCTCGCAATATCTTGTGGATGTGCACGGGCCGTCGGATATCGGCCTGAAGCCCGGCGACAAAGACTATGGACCCTATCTCAACTGGCTTCACCGAAGTGATGCGACGCTGACATTCCCGCAGACGATTGTTTTACGCTATACCCAGCTGGAACCGGAAGAACGCCGGATCAAGCAGGCAGCAGATGACTATGCCCAATGGTTCTTTTCACGTCTGAAGTCAGTGGAGCTGGCAACGGCAGATCGCGAGTATCTGTGTGCAGGTCGGTTTACCATCGCCGACATTTGTGTGGGCTACGCCCTCTACCTGGCCGATACGCTGGGCTTCCGCGAAGGCTTCAAACCGAATACTGAAAAATACTATGCACGATTGACAGAGCGCCCAGCTTTCCAGCGCGCCATCGAACTATAGAGAAGCAAGGACTTTCCATGAGCACGATCAGCGAAAAAGAACTGAGTGACTATCGCAGCGAAGCGGCGGCCTGGTTTGCCGAGAATACAAATGCCGACCCCGGCTTCATGCTCCCGCTTACCTTCATGGAAGTAGGAACAGATCAGCAGTTCAACTTTCTCCGCGATTGGCAGAACAAAGTCTATGAGGCGGGATATCTGGGCGCTGCCTGGCCAAAAGAATATGGCGGCGGCGGGCTGGATCAGAAGTTCCAGACCATTGCGACAGAAGAAATGGCGAAGGCCAACGGCCCTATCATGCTGAATGCTATTGGCCTCAATTGGGCTGGCCCCCTCATTCTGGACATGGGGACCGATGAAGAACGCAAGCGTTACATCAAAGGCATTCTGTCGGCAGAGGACATCTGGTGCCAGGGATTCTCAGAGCCGGAAAACGGATCTGACCTCGGCAATGCGCAAACCAAAGCCGTGCGCGATGGTGATGACTGGGTGCTGAACGGCTCAAAAATCTGGACCACCCAAGGCAACTACGCCAAATACATGATCCTGCTGGCGCGAACCAACCCGGATGCGCCCAACAAATATGCAGGTCTCAGCTTCTTCCTCTCGCCGATGCAGGTGGATGGCATCGAAACAGTGCCGATCCGCAAGCTCACGGGCGAATATGGCTTTACGCAAACTTTCTTCACCGATACCCGGATACCCGGCGACAGCTTGATGGGAAAAGAAGGTGAAGGCTGGCTCGTTGCCATGCGGACGCTGGAATATGAGCGCGGTGTCAAAGGCGGACAGCCTGGCGGATATGTGATGCGCGCGTCTGATCCGTTTGAAATTGTAGAGCTTGCACGTAAAGCGACGCGTGGCGGCAAGCCTGCCCTGGAAGACCCCGTCATCAAGGATCAGCTCATCCAGCTGATGATTGAGGCGCGGTCCCTGCAGCTCAACTCCAAGCGTGGGCACATTCAACCTCTGGTGCAGGACAAGCCTGCGTCCCTTGCGCTCTCAAGCAAGCTGATGGCGACGGAATTTATGCGCCGATTGAATGAGTTTGCGATCACCTTGCAGGGTCAACGCGGTGCCTATTATGTGGGTGAGCCGGATGCCTATGACGAAGGTCTTTGGCAGCGGGCCTATCTGAACTCGTTCTCCGCAACCATTGGCGGTGGGACATCGCAGATCCAGCGCAACATTATTGGCGAGCACGTGCTCGGCCTGCCAAAAAGCTGAACCGGGTAGAAGGGCAAGCCTTTCCAGGAAAAGTGGACTCCGGTTTTCCGTCCGGAAAGGCGTTCTGAAGGAAAAGAAAACATGTCAAAAAAAGCAACCATCGGTTTCAGCGAAGAACAAGCACAGCTGCTTGAAGTGGCGACAACATTCTGTCGTGACAAATCACCAATCGAAAAAGTCCGCTCCCTGCTGGAAGACGAACGTGGCTATGACAATGCGATCTGGAAAGAGATGGCCGAGCTCGGATGGCTCGCGATTGCGGTGCCAGAAGAATTTGGTGGCATCGGGCTGGGAATGGCTGAAGTCGTCCCCGTTGTTGAGCAAATGGGCCGTGCCATGATGGCAGGCCCCTTTGTGAGCACGACCGTTGCAGCGCAGGCAATCCTCGTAGGTGGGACCGACGACCAGAAACAGAAATATCTGCCCAACCTTTGTTCGGGTACCAAGGCCACCCTTGCCCTCAGCGAACCCCATGGTGACTGGGATCTTGGTCATGTGGAGTGCACAGCGGAGCGCACAGGCGATACGCTCACGCTCTCAGGCCGCAAAACCTTTGTTGAAAATGCGGAGACAGCAGAGCTTCTTCTGGTCTCCCTATCTCTCGATGGCGCCCCAGCGCTGGTGGTGGTCGAGCGATCTGCTCTGCCTGAAGGCGCGCTCCGTCGCGAGGTGGTCATTGACGAAACACGCCGGTCCTATCAGGTGACCCTTGATGGCGTCGATGTTTCTGCGGACGGGCTGCTGGATCCCGCGCTGACAGCCGCCGCACTTGCGCATGTGGATCTTTGTGCCTCGCTTTTGCTCTCGGCTGAAATGTGTGGCGCGGCGATGAGCTGTATCGACTACACAGTCGATTACCTTCAGACCCGTAAACAGTTTGGCAAGAAGATCGGGTCTTATCAGGCGTTGAAACATCCGATTGTGGATGCCCATGTAGGGTATGAGCAGGCGCGCTCCCATCTCTATTGTGCGGCGTTTAACTTTACGCAGCAGGGTGAAGGGGAGGTCGCGACCCGGATCGCCAAGGCTCAAGCCGGCGATGCGCTCTCCTTTGCGGCCGACAGGGCCATTCAGTTCCATGGTGGTTTTGGCTTCACATATGACTGCGATGCTCAGCTCTATCGGCGCCGCTCGCTCTGGTGTGAAAACCAGTTTGGCGACGCTGCCTATCAGCGGGCAAAGCTCGCCGACCTGCTTCTTTAACAGATAGGTGTCGCGTTGACGTAGCGTCCCCGGTTGTGTTCACCAACGGGCAGAGTGTTGCACGAATTTGCACGTGAATGATGGTTGCCCGATGAGGCTCCTTGGTCCATTTCTATTAGAGATGGGCACTCGAGGAGGGTGTTTTAAGGGAGGAACATCATGTCCGGCACTGACCGCTATCCACATCTGTTTGCACCACTTGATCTGGGGTTCACCACGATCAAGAACCGAGCCCTTATGGGGTCGATGCATACCGGGCTGGAGGAACGCGAAGACGGGCATCTGCGCATGGCTGAATTCTTCGCCGAACGCGCTCGCGGTGGTGTCGGCATGATCATCACCGGCGGCATCTCACCGAATGAAGAAGGGGGGCTCGGTGCGAAGCTTTCGACATCCGAAGAAGCAGCCCGCCATAAGGTCATCACTGACGCGGTGCATGCAGCCGACCCGGACACCAAAATCTGCATGCAGATCCTGCATACCGGTCCCTTGGCACCCCATGACAGGTGTGTTGCGCCATCGCCGGTCCGATCCCGCATAGCGCGCTTTGTGCCGAACGAACTCGACGAGGCGGGCATCGAAAAGCAGATCGCTGATCACGCGAACTGTGCGGCACGCGCTAAAGAAGCGGGGTATGACGGCGTTGAAGTGATCGGCTCGGCCGGATATCTGCTCTCGACTTTTCTTGTAGAAAAAACCAACCTCCGCACTGATCAGTGGGGCGGCACATATGAAAACCGGATGCGTTTTCCACTGGAAGTCGTTCGCCGCATCCGTGCGACCGTAGGCGATGATTTCATTCTGATCTTCAGAATTGCCGCCATGGATATGTTGCAAGGCGGGATGTCATGGGAAGAGGTCGTTCAACTCGCCAAAGAGTTGGAGAAAGCAGGCGTCAGCATCATTTCCACCCATTTCACCTGGCATGAAAGCGCCGTGCCGACAATTGCGACAATGGTGCCGCGCGCCGCCTTCACAAGGGTGACGGGCCGTCTCCGCAAGGAAGTGACTGTGCCCTGCATCACCTCAAACCGCATCAATATGCCGGATGTGGCGGAAGAAGTGCTTGTGAATGGCGATGCGGACATCGTCTCCATGGCCCGTCCTATGTTGGCGGATGCAGAGCTTGTCAAAAAAGCCGCTGAAGGCCGCGAAGATGAAATCAACACCTGTATTGGCTGCAATCAGGCCTGTCTCGATCATACGTTCGGCGGCAATCAGGAAGTGTCCTGCCTCGTGAACCCACGGGCCTGTCACGAAACGCTTCTGAAATACGAGCCAGCGAAAGCGCAAAAGAATATTGCAATCGTCGGCGCCGGACCCGCGGGGCTTGGCTATGCGACAGTAGCGGCCGAACGCGGGCACAAGGTGACGCTCTATGATTCCGCTTCGGAAATTGGTGGGCAGTTCAATTTGGCAAAACGTATTCCCGGCAAGGAAGAGTTTTACGAGACGCTTCGCTACTACAGCAAAATGATCGACGTCCATGACATTGATCTGCGTCTCAACACCCGCGTCTCAGCCGACATGTTGCAGAACGAAAACTACGACGAAATCGTTGTGGCGACAGGCATTGAACCACGCACGCCGGATGTGGAGGGCATCGATCATCCCAAAGTCGTGCGCTATGTAGACGTTATTACCGGTAAGGCCAAGGTGGGTAAGAAAGTGGCGATCATGGGCGCAGGTGGCATTGGCTTTGATGTCGCTGAGTTGATCACCCATGAAGGAAAATCCAGTGCACTTGATATTGATGTCTTCGCAAAGGAATGGGGTGTCGATTTTGAAAACCACCCCCGTGGCGGGGTGACGGGTGTGGAGCCTGTGATTGCGAAATCAGACCGCGAAGTCATACTCCTTCAGCGCAAGACCTCGTCGGTTGGTCGGGGCCTGGGCAAAACAACAGGCTGGACACATCGGCTGACACTGGCGCGCCGAGGCGTGAAAATGATGAACGGTGTGGAATATTTGCGCATCGACGATGAGGGCCTGCATGTGCTGATTCAGAATGATCCACAGACGTTGGATGTGGATACGGTCATCATCTGCGCAGGACAGGAACCGCTGAGGACGCTGTTTGATGAGCTGGAAGCAAGCGGTGCAAAAGTGAGCCTTGTTGGTGGCGCATATGAAGCCATGGAGCTCGATGCAAAGCGCGCGATCAACCAGGCAAGCTATCTCGCCGCCGCAGTCTAGTTGCCCGGTGTTTATCGCCAGGCTTGAATAAGGTGAAGTCTCATGTGACCTTCTCCACTTAAACCGGTCGAGGGGAACACATGCGCACGACATTGACGACAATTGGAAGCCTGTTTGGGATTGTGTTCTTGACGGCCGTCGGGGTCGTGCTGCTCCGCGCTGAAGCAGACGCACCGCCACCCGTTGATACGGCCCCCTTGATCGCGCAGGCAGGCAAGTACGAGGTCAAGATCCATCGCGATCATTTTGGTGTTCCCCATATCTACGGCGAGACAGATTCGGATGTAGCCTTTGGCCTGGCGTTTGCGCATGCAGAAGATGATTTCGCGACCATTCAGGAAGTGGCGATTGCCGCAAGAGGCCAGCTCGCAGCCATCAAGGGAATAGATGCAGCGGTTACCGACTATCTCGTGCATCTATTGCGGGTGTGGGAAGCGGTAGACGCCAAATATTACACGCATGTATCGCCCGAAGCCCGCGCGCTGGCAGAAGCCTATGCTGACGGCGTGAATTATTATGCCGCACTGAACCCCGATGAGGTTGAAGCCGGACTTCTACCTATGACCGGGAAGGACGTGGTCGCAGGATTTACCTTCAAAGCCCCTTTTTTCTACGGCATGCAGAACCACATTCTCGAACTCTTCGAGCCGGAGCGGAAACGTGAAATGTCGATGGGCCCGGAAAATGCCTTTCTGCTGACCGATGAAGGGTTTGCCCATGCAGGGTCCAACGGATTTGCCGTTGCACCGTCCCGATCAGCTGATGGAAAAACCCGCCTGCTTGTTAATTCCCATCAACCCTATAAAGGCCCCGTTGCCTGGTATGAAGCACGCTTGAAAAGCGAAGAAGGATGGGACGCCGTCGGCGGGGTTTTCCCGGGATCACCTCTCATGCTTCACGGACATAACCGCCGGGTTGGGTGGGCCTCGACCGTCAACAAGCCCGACCTTGTCGACACCTATGTCCTCACCGTGAACCCCGACAATCCGGATCAATATCTGCTGGATGGGGAGTGGCGGCAGTTTGAGAAGACCAGCGTCGACATAAAGGTAAAGCTCTGGGGTCCGTTCTGGTGGACCGTTTCGCGCGACGTTGAATATTCCGAGCATGGGCCCGTCATTCGTCAAGAACATGGAACCTATGCCGTGCGCTATGCAGGCATGGGCGAAGTCGGCAACCTTGACCAGCGCCTCGCCATGAACAAAGCGGGCTCTCTGGAGGAGTGGTTGGCGGCGATGGCCATGCAGGCTCTGCCGTCCATCAACTATATTTACGCTGATGCGGATGGAAACATTGCGCTCCTTTATAATGGCCAGATGCCAAAGCGGGTCGAGGGTTTCGATTGGCAGGAATATCTGCCGGGCGACCGATCAGACCTGATCTGGAGGGAATATTTGCCGTTTGAGCATGTCCCGCTTTTATTGAATCCGAAGGCGGGATTCATCACGGAAGCAAACAGCACGCCATACAAAGCGACCGCACCGGAAGATGATTTGAAGCCCGAAGATTTCTCCGCAACACTTGGCATCGAAACGCAAATGACCAACCGTGCCTTTCGCGCGTTGGAGCTGCTAGGGTCAGATGCCTCCATCACCGCAGAAGAGTTCCGCGCTTACAAATATGATCACGCCTACTCGACTGCGTCAGAACTTGCTTCGCTGATTGCAGAAGTGCTCGCTGTCGAGGCAGGCAGCGATGAAGATCTGAAACAGGCCCAGAATATCCTGCGGGATTGGGACCTTCGGACCGATTATGAAAGTCGTGGCGCAGCGTTGGGTGTGTTGATGGGAGAACCAGTCGTGCGCGCACGGCTCGGCGGTAAGGAACCGCCCGCGCCATTAGATAGCCTGCAAGAAGCCATTGCGCATTTGAAAGAGCATTTTGGGCGTCTCGATCCCATGTGGGGAGAGGTGAATCGCATCATTCGGGGCGGCGTCGATATGCCGATCCAGGGCGGGCCGGACATTCTGCGTGCCGTCTATGGCAGGAAGGCTGACGAAGATGGGCGCCTTGGTGCCGAAGGTGGAGATACCTACATCATGTTTGTTGAGTGGGATGAAGACGGTACTGTTACCTCAGAAAGCATCCATCAGTTTGGCTCCGCGACGATTGACGAAACATCGTCGCATTTTGCAGACCAAGCCCCACTATTTGCAGAAGAAAAAACAACGCCCGTCCTGCTGGATTGGGACGCGTTTGAACCAACCATTGCCGAAAGCTATCGGCCTGGCAGGCGTGCGGCGAGATGAGTTGCTGACAATCCTGCGTCAATCTGATTGAGTGCGGCGCATGACAGATGCGTTCCAGGCCACAGATGAATTCGCTGCCCAGTTCGACAGCCTGCTTGCCTGGCGACGTGACGTGCGCCGCTTCAAAACAGAGCCGTTGGCACCGGGCCTCCTTGAAGAACTGATTGACCGAGCCTGTCTCGCTCCCAGTGTCGGAAACGCGCAACCTTGGCGTTTTGTCTCTGTAGAGAACCCTGATCTCCGGCATGTGGTTGCTGAGAGTTTCGAAATCGAAAACGCGGCGGCGGCCAAGCTCTATAAAGATGAGCAAGCGCGGCTTTATTCTGAGCTGAAGCTCGCGGGTCTGAAGGAAGCGCCGGTCCATCTGGCCGTTTTCTCAGACACTGATACACTGCTTGGCAGTGGGCTTGGGCGCCAAACCATGCCAGAGACGCTTGTTTATTCAACGGTTTGCGCCATCCATACGCTCTGGCTGGCCGCCAGAACGAGAGGTGTCGGGGTCGGTTGGGTGTCGATTCTCGACCCAAAAGTGATCACGCGCACACTAAATGTGCCAGCCAATTGGCAGTTTGTTGGCTATCTCTGCCTTGGCTATCCCATTGAAAATCATGACGATCCGGAGCTTGTGCGCCACGGCTGGCAGGAGCGGATAGATCGATCAAAAGTGCTTTTGCGCCGTTAGTCAGGCCGCCTCTCCCTTGCCGCCACCTGGCGTATGCGCTAAACCCACCCGCAATGGTGCCCCGTTCTTTGGGGGTAAAAGGGAATCCGGTGAAAACCCGGAACTGTACCCGCAACTGTAAGTGGGAAGTTTTCTGCCGCCAGTAAATGTCACTGAAGTGCCTTTGGCACTTTGGGAAGACAGGCAGCAAACGTCGATCCACAAGTCAGGAAACCTGCCATTGCGTCGTCCGTCCCCGGACCGGGTCATGTCCATGGGAGCGGTTCTCGCAGTGACGACAATGTTTGGATGAAGGGCGGCTGGTTCCGTGCTCCACGCATTGTTGTGCGCGGCCGGGTCAGTGTCCTTCCTTAACTGGGGACATTGAAATGTCATTGCTAAAGAAACTTCTTCTAACGACCATCCCTGTCTGGGCAGTTGCGCAGCCCGCAATTGCGGCAGAGCAGGCTCCTGAGATCGTTGTGACTGCCACACGGACGGAAATCGCCACCAACCAGGTCGGCAGTTCTATCTCCGTGCTCACAGCAGAACAGATCGAAGAACGCCAATACGCCTTTACGGTCGATGCAATCCGCTCACTACCTGGTGTTATCATAAATCAGAATGGGCCTTTCGGCGGATCGGCGTCCGTGCGAATTCGCGGAGCATCTTCAGACCAGACATTGGTGCTGGTTGATGGCGTCATCGTCAATGACCCGGCAAGCCCGGGCGCAGGATTCAATTTTGCCAATCTCGATCCAAATGACATTGAACGGATAGAGCTGTTGAGAGGGCCGCAGAGTACGCTGTACGGATCTCAGGCTATTGGTGGTGTCGTCAACATCATCACAAAACGAGCTGAAGAACCGTTTGCCTACAGCGCATTTGCAGAGGCGGGTTCATTCGACACGCTTCGTTCCGGCGGAAGTGTCTCGGGAAGGCTGGCCGATACGGATTACAGATTTTCTCTCAGCGGCATTCGCACGAATGGTATCTCCAAGGCTGATGAGAATGATGGCAATACGGAAGAAGATGGCTACAAGAACTACACCTTCAGCGGAAATGTTGGCTCAAACCTGACCGAAATATTACGTGCTGAGGGTGGGCTTCGTTATTCAGACAGCAGAAACGAATTTGACGCCAGCGGTGGTGTTGGGGGTGATGGAGACCGTGTGGGGCATACGCGTGAGTTTCAGGCAAATGCCTCACTTCACCTCAGCACATTTTCAGGCCAACTAGAAAATAGCCTGACGGCTAGCTACTCCCTCACTGACCGTGACAATGACTCAAACGGCGCTCGTTCTTTTAGCGCAACCGGCGAGCGGACATCGTTAGAGTATCTGGGCACAATCAACACGTCAGATATTTGGAACGCGATTGTTGGATTAAAAACAGAAGACACTGAGATTCGGGGCGGCTCATCGATCAGGACTGACAGTGTTTTTGGTCAAGTCCAGGTTTTGCCTCTCGAAAACCTGTCTCTGATCGGAGGTGCTCGGTTTGATGATCATGACACCGCTGGTGGCGTGACAACATTCCGTTTCACAAGCGCTTACGAGTTGGTAGAAACAGGCACCGTGTTTAGAGGGTCCTGGGGCGAAGGTTTCAAGTCGCCGACACCGTTCCAGCTAACTTTTTTCTGCTGTGGGGCTACCGGGCCGAACACCAACCTGAAACCAGAGGAATCTCGAGGCTGGGATCTAGGCGTGGAGCAGGAATTCTTGAACGGCAAAGCCGATGTTCAGGTGAACTACTTCCAACAAGATGTCGAAAACCAGATTGATTTTTCCTTCGCGGCAGGCGGGTACTTGAACATCGATCAGGTTGAAACAGAAGGGTGGGAATTTATTGCATCAGCTCGCCCGGCCGACTGGATTGATCTGAGCGCGAACTTCACTCATCAGTCTGCCATAGATGTGTCCACGGGCAGTCAGCTGGTGCGGACACCGGCAAACATCGCAACGCTCAATGTCACGACTTATCCGATGGAGGCGCTAGCTTTGGGTGGTGCGGTAACATGGAACGACGACGAAACAGACCGCAATGGCCTGGTGCAGGACTGGTTCCGGGTGGATGTGCGAAGCTCCTATCAGCTGAATGATCAGGTGGAGCTCTTCGGGCGTGTGGAGAATTTGCTGGATGAGCAATATCAGGACATTCTGGGCTTCGGCACACCTGGCATCTCCGGCTTCTTTGGTGTTCGGGTCAAAGGATGAATAAAGCGGCAATCGGTTTAGGGTTCGGTCTTCTGGTCAGCGGTGTGTCCGCTGGCCAGGCGGCAGGCCCGTCGGTTGCCTCGCTGGACTTTTGTGCTGACCAATATGTCTTGGCGTTGGCAGACCCTGATCAAATCGTCGGGGTCTCGCCTCACGCAGAGACGGAGTTTTCCTACCTCGCAGAAAAAGCCATTGGCATTCCCAAGATCCGGCCAACGGCAGAAGAAGTTTTGGTCCTGGAGCCTGAGATGGTCGTGCGCTTATGGGGCGGCGGCTATGGCGCAAAAGACACATTGGAACGCTATGGTATTCCGGTCGTACAGGTCTCCCTGGCGGTCACACTAGAAGAGACAAAAGCAAATCTTCTGGCAGTCGGTGAGGCCCTTGGGCATCTGGACCGCGCGAAGGCCATCGCGGTGGATCTGGAGACGCGGATTTCCGCAATTCAGGCGGTTCCAGATGAGGAACGTCCAGTGGCGCTTTATGTAACACCTTCTGGGACGACGACAGGTCGTGGCACATTCATCCACGAGATGATGACAACCGCAGGAGTCGACAATATGTCGGCAGCACTCGGGACATCACCTTGGCACCCGGTGAATCTGGAAGCTTTGGCGCTTAGCCCGCCTGACATGATTGTCGCAGGGTTTTATGACTTGAGATCAGGCAAGCTCAGCAATTGGTCTTTGTCCCGTCATGAGTTTTTGCGGCGGCAAGGAGAGATCCGACCTGTCGCGCGCATTCCGAGCCGCGAGATCGCATGCGCCGCGTGGTTTGTCGTGGACGCCATTGAGGAAATCGCCGCCACGCGCAGGTCGTTGTCACCCGACGCGGCGGAGCAGTGAATGTTGGGTGCACTCTATACTCCTTGGCTGCTGCTAGGGGCTCTCGCAGCTGAAGGGCTGCTTGGGTACCCCTCTGTTTTCTGGCGCACCATCGGCCACCCTGTTTCATGGATGGGGCGGTTTCTGAGCCTCGGCGAAACTTGGATGAACACCCATGGTCGGCGCCCCCGACGGGACTTCATCGCCGGCATGGTTTGGCTGGCTGCGGGCATCACGTTACTTGGTGGGATGGCCTGGTACCTGAGCATGACCCTTAGCGAAATTGCTTATGGATGGATAGGGGAGCTGCTCATTATGGCGACGCTGATCGCGAGCCGTTCTCTCTATGCCCATGTGCGTGATGTGTACGCTGCTCTCACCCTGAACAATATTGAGCAAGCACGTGAGAAGGTATCCCTCATTGTCGGAAGGAATACTGACGCATTAGAGGAGCCTGCCATTACCCGCGCAGCGATAGAGAGCCTCGCGGAGAATGCCTCCGACGGCGTTATCGCGCCGCTGTTCTGGGGCCTTGTGGCCGGTCTGCCGGGCATTGCGGTCTATAAGTTGGTCAACACAGCAGACAGCATGTGGGGCCATAGAAGTGAACGATATGAATGGTTCGGCAAAACGGCTGCACGCCTGGATGATCTTGTGAACCTGATCCCAGCGCGGCTCACTGGTATCCTGTTTTGTGTGGCTTCTCTTAGCGTGGGACGCAGCAGAGCTGCCTTTCGGGTGATGTGGCGCGATGCATCAATCCATCTGTCGCCAAATGCAGGCTGGCCGGAAGCGGCGATGGCGGGCGCGTTGGGGTGTCGCTTGGGCGGGCCGCGAACATATCAGGGGCAGGTCACAGACGGTGTGTGGCTCGGAGACGGATCGGCTGACCTGGACGCAAGCGATCTTCGACGATCATTACAGCTCTATCTGATAATGCTCGGACTGGCTGTGAGCCTGATCTTGGTCGTCGCCCTCCTTGGGGGGCATATGCTTTGAAGACACTTCTCCATGGCGGTGACCTCGAAGCATTTGGCCGACAAAATCCAGAGGCTACAAGGCCGTTGATAGATCTAAGCACCGGCATCAATCCACACGCTTATGAGACAGGTGTCGACAAGGGCTGGATGACCCGGCTGCCGAACCATGTCGATGAGGAAACATGTCGCCTCGCTTTTGCGACTTATGCAGGTGTTGACCTAGCGTTTGTGCACGTGATGCCTGGCACTCAGACCATCATCTCGGGCCTGCCGCATCTCTTTCGTGGAAAACGCGTAGCCATACTGTCGCCAACCTATGGAGAGCATGAAGCGAGCTGGCGGGCCGCGGGACATGCGGTCACAACATCCCTGGCGTCGGAAGTTTTGACCGCAGACGCTGACATCATTGTTGTGACCAATCCCAACAATCCCGACGGTTTTGTGTTCGAGGTAGAGGCGCTCCGCGTCTGTCAGGCGCGACAAAGGGAACGGGGCGGTTGGTTGATCGTCGATGAGGCCTTTGTGGATTGCACGCCTGAGTTCAGTGTCGCAACAGAAGTCCAAAACGGAGGGCTTCTGATTCTGCGGTCTTTCGGGAAGTTCTTCGGCCTAGCAGGTCTGCGCCTCGGTTTTCTTCTGGGACCCGTCGAAATTGCGGCGCCCTTGCTAGAGCGCCTAGGGCCATGGGGTGTGAGCACCCCCGCGCTGCGCATCGCGACCAAGGCCCATAGCGATACGACATGGATCGCAGAGGCCCGAAAAAATCTGCACGAGCAGATGGAACGTTTGCGGGGCCGGGTGACCCCGCTGCTCGGGACGGAAATAGGGCGGACACCTCTCTTCCTGTTACTGAACTGTGTGGATGCTATGGCAGTGGCGACCCAAATGGCAGATCATGGAATTTTCGTCCGCACATTTCCGAATATGCGAAACTATCTTCGCTTGGGCCTGCCGGGCGAGCCGTGGGCGTGGGAGCGTCTTGAAACCGCTTTGACAGAATGGGAGCACAAAAATGAGTGCTAAAGATGAGAACGCGACACATACAAAAGAGATGAAGAAGGTCCAGTCGGCGCATCGCGAGAAAATGTCGGAGAAGAAAGAGGCGGACCGTGGCTTGTTCCTGATCCTGACAGGCGATGGTAAGGGCAAGTCGAGCTCTGCTTTTGGATCAATCATCCGTGCGCTCGGATGGGGGCATAGCGTCGGGGTTGTGCAATATGTGAAGGGCAATTGGAAAACGGGAGAACGCCAGTTTTTTCAGAAATATCCTGACCTCGTCACCTGGCACACAATGGGTCAGGGCTTTACCTGGGATACCCAGGACAGGGAAAAAGACATTGAAGCGGCACGGGCGGCCTGGGGTGTATCCGCGAAAATGTTGGCGTCCGGCGAGTATGACCTGGTGGTTCTCGATGAGCTGAACATTGTCCTGCGATACGACTACCTGCCGGTAGACGAAGTCCTCGCGGGTCTCATGAACCGCCATCCGCGCACAAGCGTTATGGTGACCGGACGGGATGCCAAAGAAGAGCTTCGCGTTGAAGCCGATCTCATTACGGAGATGACACCGATTAAGCACCCATTCGAATCTGGGATTAAAGCAAAGCGGGGCATCGACTACTAATGAGCCGACGCTCACCATACGCCGCCTCAATGCTTCTGGCTGCCCTGCTGCTGACAACGATGGCCGCAAGCCTCTTCTTGGGCTATGCGCCCTTAGGTGTCGGCGAGGTTTTTCAAGGGCTCTTGGGCGTAGGCGACGAGCGCTACGTCTTCATCGTGCAGGACATCAGAGCCCCCCGCATTGTTTTGGGCGCCATGGTGGGCGGCTCTCTGGGCCTTGCAGGAGCGGCTATCCAGGGGCTTCTCAGAAACCCGCTGGCAGACCCAAGTGTGATTGGTGTGTCGTCAAGTGCCGGGCTCGGAGCAGTCGTCGCGATCTATTATGGCTTCGCCGCTTCGTCAGCGGTCTTTGTGCCTGTATTTGCGATCAGCTTTGCCATCGCCGCCATGTTGGTTTTGGTGTGGCTCGCTGGCAAGGACGCCAGCATCCTGACGCTCATCCTGTCGGGTGTGGCCATTTCAAGCCTCGCCGCCGCCTTAACATCGCTGGCAATGAACCTCTCGCCCAATCCGTTTTCGCTGAACGACATTATCCTTTGGCTTTTGGGCTCGCTTGCCAATCGAAGTTTTACCGAACTTTGGATTGCGGGGCCTTTCATGGTCGCAGGCTGGGTGCTCCTTCTGTCGACAGCACGCGCCCTTCCGTCCCTTAGCTTGGGAGAAGATGCAGCAGCGTCATTGGGGGTAGATCTGCGACGGGTGCGGTTGCAAACTGTTTTTGGGGCGGCTTTTGCTGTTGGCGGGGGCGTTGCGGTAAGCGGTGCCATTGGCTTTGTCGGCCTTGTGGCGCCACACCTCGTTCGCCCGTTAGTAGGGCATGACCCGGGGCGCCTGCTGGTGCCAAGTGCGCTGGCGGGCGCACTGCTCTTGGTCCTGGCAGATATTGGTGTGCGCACAATCCCAGGGGATGCGGAACTCAAGCTGGGCGTGGTGACCGCCTTGCTCGGCGCACCGTTTTTCCTCTGGCTCATCATCTACACACGGCGGTCCATGCGATGATCGCTGCGCAGAACATATCAGTGTCGCTGGGCACCCACGCCGCGGTCCGCAATGTCTCCATGGAAATAAAGCCTGGTGAGATAGTTGGATTTGTGGGGCCAAACGGTGCGGGCAAGACCAGCCTTTTGCGATCCCTCTTGCGTCTCGTGCCGGTGGACAGCGGCTCAGTTTTGTTGGACGGCACCGATATTACCGCTGACGCGCCGCACAAACATGCGCAAGCCATTGCCTATCTCCCGCAGGGTCAGAGCGTTGCCTGGCCATTGACCGCCCGGCGTCTGGTGGCGCTTGGCCGTGTACCACATCGCTCCACATGGGAAACCCTGAAGCCTGAAGATGAGCAGGCAATCGATGCAGCATTGACGGCAACAGACGTTGAGTCATTTGCCCATCGCCCGGTGACAGAGCTCTCAGGTGGCGAGCGGAGCCGGGTCCTTCTTGCACGGGCTCTTGCGGTGAAGGCGAGTGTCTTGCTGGTGGATGAACCCACCGCCTCCCTCGATCCCTACCATCAGCTGACAACCATGGAAGCACTGAAGGCGACTGCAAGCGATGGAACTGCCGTTGGGGTCGTGCTGCATGATCTCAACCTGGCTGGCCGTTATTGTGACCGCCTCTGTCTGATGCACGAGGGGAAGCTTGTCGCAGATGGAACGCCCGACCAGGTGTTGAGTGACCAAAATCTCGCCCGTGTCTATCGCATCGGTGTGCGCCGGGATGATCGCGGCGATGTGGTGGTTGATCGGCGCCTGAGCGACGCCCCATGACAAAGGCACTCATGCTTCAGGGCACTGGGTCCGATGTGGGCAAGTCCGTGCTTGTTGCAGGGCTGGCCCGGGCTGCTGTGAATCGCGGGCTGACGGTCCGCCCGTTCAAGCCGCAAAACATGTCAAACAATGCCGCTGTTACTGTTGAGGGGGGCGAGATCGGTCGGGCACAATGGCTCCAGGCGCGCGCCTGCAAAGTGCCGCCGAGCATTCACATGAATCCGGTCCTTCTCAAACCCCAAAGTGACGTCGGAGCTCAGATAGTTGTGCAGGGGAAAGTCTGGGGAATGGCGCAGGCCCGGGATTATCAGACCCGCAAAAAGCAGTTGCTGGCGTCAGTCATTGAAAGCTTTGAAGCGCTAAAGGGGGATGCAGATCTCATTCTGGTGGAGGGTGCAGGCAGTCCTGCGGAAACCAATCTGCGTGCAGGCGACATCGCCAATATGGGCTTTGCAACGGAAACCGGAACGCCAGTGGTCCTCATTGGGGACATTGACCGTGGGGGGGTCATCGCGAGCCTTGTTGGCACCCATGCAGTGCTCGATCCTGCTGACCAAGATATGATTAAAGGCTTCCTCATCAACAAGTTCAGGGGCGACATCTCTCTCTTTGACGATGGATTGCAGGAGATTGAGCGACGAACCGGATGGCCAAGCTTCGGTGTCCTGCCTTGGGTTCGTGCGGTGGCTGATCTGCCCGCTGAAGATGCGGTGGTGCTGGAGCGCAGCCAGACACACGCGGCAGGCCAACTCAAAATAGCTGTGCCCATGCTCTCGCGCATTGCGAATTTCGACGATGTCGATCCGCTTGCACAGGAAGAAAGCGTAGATTTGCAATTCATCCTGCCAGGCAAGCCGCTTCCGGGTGATGCAGACCTGGTCATCTTACCAGGCACGAAATCAACGATTGCAGATCTGGGTTTCTTCAGAACTCAAGGGTGGGACATTGACCTGCAGGCGCATATCCGTCGTGGCGGACAGGTCCTGGGTCTTTGCGGTGGGTATCAGATGCTGGGGGCACAGATAGACGACCCTGAGCGCATTGAAGGCCCGGCGACACAAACACCGGGTCTCGGGCTTCTCGATGTGGCGACCATTATGCAGCCTGAGAAACAGGTGCGCATGGTGAGAGGAAAAGCTGCGATCTCGGGCGCCGCTTTTTCCGGATACGAGATCCATATCGGTGAGACCAAAGGGCGGGCTCTAGAACGCCCGTTCCTGGAAGTCGAAGGCATTCCACATGGCGCCATCAGTGAAGATGGGCACATTATGGGCGCTTACGTTCACGGGCTTTTTAGGAGTGGCGCGTTTCGCAGGGACTTCTTGAGCCAGTTGGGCGTGGCGAGCGACGGTCAGAATCACGACGATAAAACCGACCGCGCCCTGGATAATCTGGCGGATGCAATGGAAGAGGCGCTCGACGTGGATGGACTTCTTAGTCTTGCTGCGGAGCCTTCAAGATAAGAGGAAGACCCGCCATCACGAGAAGGACAGCCTCGATTTCTGCCGCCAAGGATTGATGCAGCCACCCCGCTTCGTCTCGGAACTGCCGTGCCAGTGCATTGTCCGGCACGATACCCTGACCCACCTCATTTGAGATGAACACAAGCCGCGCAGGGCAGGCTTTGATCGCGGCCAATAGGTTGGAGGTGGCGGAAGCAATGTCTTCTTTTGCCTCCATCAGATTGCCCAGCCAGAGCGTCAGGCAGTCGATGAGAACGATGTCTTTGTCACTCACCTGATTGCGCAGGACGCCTGACAGATCGAGGGGCTCTTCAATCAATCGCCAGTCTGTTCCACGGCGGCTCTGATGATGGGTGATGCGCTCCGCCATTTCATCATCGCGGGCTTCGGCTGTTGCCACATAGACCAAATCACCCGAGGCATCTGTCACAAGGCCTTCGCCGTACCGACTCTTGCCCGACCGCGCACCGCCGAGAATGAGAGCCGCGAAAGGACCTGAGTCCGGCAGATGGAATGAGTTGGTCACTGGAGCACCCTCAAACGAAAATCACACAGGCCAGAAGCAGAAAACTTTCTGAAACCTCAATCCCGGCACCCAGGCTATCACCGGTCTGGCCCTTCAATCGTACCTGTAAGTAAGCCCCCCAAACCAGAAGGATGAAGGGCGCTGCCAGAAAGGCAGGCGCGCCCCAGGCACTCGCGAGAAGAAGGGCAGCCCATGCCCAAGGCGTAACCGAGTTGATCTCCCACGAAAACCGCTCCCCCATGCCCTGTGCTTCAGTGGATTGCGGACGCAGGACCGGCAGGTACTGGGCCCAGAAAAGCGGGCCAAGCCGTGCCCAGGCGCACAGCGGGATCAAAACCCAAAAGAGCTCCTGCTCGGCGATCAGTATCAGGAGCACAAGCTTCACGGCCAATTGCACGATCAGGCTTACGACGCCAAACGTACCGATATGGGGATCTTTCAGGACCTCATGGAAGCGTGTTTCATCTGCGTGCGCAGCGCCCAGCGCATCAGCGAGGTCCGACAGACCATCAAGATGAAGTGCGCCGGTGACAAATGCCCACGCCCCAAGCGTCAGCACCGCACCCACCCAGGGATCAATCAGCGATCCACTCCAGAGCACCAACGCTAAAAGCGAGCCGACGATAAGACCGACGGCAGGGAAGCAGCTCGAGGCACGGCTGAGCGCCCTTGGTTCAAATTCGGTCACTTGAGGTGTGGGCAGGCGCGTTAAAAACTGCACCGCGAGAATGAAAGAAGTGAGCGGCGCAGTCATCCATCCCCCTTTAACGCTGTCAGCTGGACGTCAAGAGTTGCGTGGTCAGGATCGTGATGTGCAGTCATCTCCAGCACGCTTGCGGTCGGCAGAGAGACTTTCCAGGCAGATGCGAAGGGGAGGCCAAGCTGAGTAACGAGCAGAGACCGCATGACACCAGCATGGGTGATTAGAAGCAGGCGCTGCCCTTGGGCTTCCCGTCCGATTTCCTCAAATGCCTCTGATGTTCGGGCGCACATCACGGCCCAGGGTTCACCACCCGGTGCCGGGTTCGCGGTTGGATCATCCCAGAAAGCGGTGAGTGCTTTTTGATCCGCATTCCAGACTTCTTCCGTCGACTTTCCTTCCCAGTCTCCGAAATCCATTTCTCTGACCCGCGCATCAACATCTAATGGAAGCTCGAGGCTTTCGGCAAAGGCATGACAGCGCCTAAGCGGCGACGTGATGACCCGGTCCCACAACTCGTCTTTGGTGCGGGCCGCAAGCGCGTGCCATCCGGCGTCTGTGAGCTCCGGGTCGCTGCTACCGCAAAAAAGACCGGTGAGCGGAGTCTCGCCGTGGCGCAAGATGGTGATATGTGCGGGTTTGGTCATGTGATCGACGATACGCCGGCACTGTCAAACGTCGCCATCTCATTATGAAGAGAGCAGGCAAGCCGAAGAAGAGGAAGTGCGAGAGCGGCGCCGCTGCCTTCTCCAAGACGAAGACCCAGATCAAAAAGCGGATTGGCATCAAGCGCATCAAGCACCCGTGCATGACCGCTTTCCGCAGATCGGTGGGAGAAAAGAAGCCAAGGACGAATAGACGGGTTTGCACTGACAGCTGCGAGCATGGCGGCTGTGCAAATGAACCCATCAACCAAGACGGGCACACGCGCTTGTGCAGCGGTGATCGCTGCGCCTGCAAGGGCGGCAATTTCGTGGCCACCCACTTTGCGAAGTACTTGTGCCGCGTTAGCGTTCCCGGCATCCAGCTTGTGGAAGGCAAGGCTCTCCGCAATGACGCGGGTCTTGTGAGAGATGCCGTCGGCATCAAGACCGGTTCCCGCACCAGCAAGTGCAGCGACGTTTCCGTCAGTGAGGGCTGCTGCGACAGCACTTGCTGCACTGGTGTTCCCGATACCCATCTCACCGAGCAGAAGCAGGTCGGCCCCTTCGCCAATGGCACGCGCTCCTGCGTTCCGTCCGGCACCCAATGCGTGGAACAGCTCATCTTCGCTCATGGCGTCGCCGCGCCGAAAATTTTCTGTACCGTGGGCAATCTTGTCAGCATGCACGCCATGCGGCACGTTGTGCGCTAAGGTGCCCACATCGACAACCTGCAGCGCCGCGCCTTGTTCTCGCGCGAGAACAGAGATGGCAGCACCGCCTGTCACAAAATTTGCGAGCATCTGAGCGGTGACTTCGGACGGATAGGCTGAAACGCCTTCCGCGGTAATGCCGTGATCACCAGCGAAGATCAAAATATGAGGCGTGGAGACAGAGGGCCGTTCCCTATTGCTGAGGCTTGCAAGCTGGATCGCAATATCTTCCAGCTGTCCCAGAGACCCGGCCGGTTTCGTCAGCCGCGCTTGGCGAGCCTGCGCCCGGGCCTCGGCCGCCGCATCCGGCTTTGGCGGCGCACTGGTTACCCAATTTGGAAATTCACTCATAACCCGCTTTCAACAATGCATTTGCGGGCTCTTTGTAGCAGATATGCGCGCCGTTTTGACCGCTTGTCCGTGATTTAGCGCCAGCCTGCTCGGTCGTAAATTCTAATCGCTAGCGACTGATTTTCCCCAAGGGCAGAGGCGTTGATCTCGTCCTCTTTGAAGGTACCCAGAGCCGTTACGGGGCCTTCTGCATCAACACTGGCGACAGCGGGATATTCATTGTTACCGTCAGCGAGCACCTTCTGTGCCCAGTCACTGGTCAGAAATTCCAGAAACCGAACCGCATTGTCCTTGTTAGGAGCGTAAGCAAGCAGCCCGGCACCGGAAATATTAACATGGGTTCCGCGGGTCTCTTGTTCCGGGAAGATCACACCGATCTTGTCAGCGACAGCTAGGTCAGCCTCGTCTTCTGATCGCATGAGGCGTGCAACATAGTACGTGTTGGCAATGCCTACGCGGCACTCTCCAGCTGCAACCGCACGGATCTGCGCTGTGTCATTGCCCTGAGGCGCGCGGGCGAAATTGGCGACAACACCCTCGGTCCAGGCTTCCGCTGCCTCTGCGCCGTCATGGGCCACAATCGAGGCAAGAAGGGAGATGTTGTAGATATTGCTCGACGACCGCACACAAACCTGGCCCGCGAGGGAAGGGTCCGCCAGATCGGCGTAATTGGTGAGGCCTTGAGGCGCACCCGCATCCTTATTGTAAATCACCACACGTGCGCGCTTTGAAATGCCAAACCACAACCCGTCCGGATGCCTGAGATGGGCTGGCACGCGCTCTTCAACCAGTGTCGACGCGATGGGAGCAAACAGCCCGGCTTCTTCCGCGCGCCACAGGCGACCCGCATCAACAGTGAGGAGAACGTCGCCGGGGCTGAACTCACCTTCTTGTGTCAGGCGGGCCAACAGTTCTTCACTCTTGCCTTCGATCAGATTGAGCTTGATGCCTGTCTCTTCGGTAAAACGCTCATAGAGCATCAGGTCCGTGTCGTAGTGCCGGGCGGAATAAATGTTGAGTTCTTCAGATGCCTGACCATTGGAAACGGCAAAAATGACCAGAAACACGCCGATAATGGGGATCAGAGCTTTGCCGAATGTTTTGGACACGGGGCGGGCACCTTTTTAAGAATGACTATCAATTCCGAGAAATGTAGGGCCGCCACCGGTGCAAAACAAGGGGTATTGCGCTCGATGGGTCAGTTCGCCGCGGGAAAAAGGAAGACGCCCGTGCCTCCAAAGGATGCGCGAACAGGTGTGCCTTCTTCAAATTCTGATGCATCAGCCATATGAACCCGGAGCGGCGCGTCGTTTGCATTGTTGGTGCCAACAAGCACAAGCCAATGACTTCCACGAAACCGCATATCAAGAACATGAAGTCCCTCGCCCTCTGACGCGGGCGTCAGGGTCACACTGCTCGGACGCACCACAAGGTTTGCGACGGTCCCATCAGCGTGCCCGTTTGTCGACGAGCTAACAGGGCAAGTCCCATAGTCGAAATGCGCTTCGGCACCAGAGATTTTTGCCCGAAACGTCTGGGCATCGCCAAAGAGAGAAGCGACAAGCGCTGTTGCAGGCGCGTTGTAGAGCTCAAATGGCTCGCCGCATTGCAGGATACGGCCGTCATCCATCACGGCAATTTTGTCCGCCATGTCCAGGGCTTCGTCCGGGTCATGTGTCACCATGATGGTGATCGCACCCGATTGTTTGAGGGCAAGGCGCGCATGTTCGCGGAGCTGCCGTCGTCGTGTCACATCAATGCTGGCAAAGGGTTCATCCAACAGGATCACAGAGGGGGCTGGCGCGAGCGCACGGGCAAGAGCGACCCGTTGCTGCTGACCGCCTGACAGGGTGTGAGGGTAGCGCTCGCCAAGCCCTTCAAGGCCCACATCGGCGAGGGTCCGTGCAACAATTTCTCCCCGATCTGGGTTGGACCTCGGCAAACCGAACGCCACATTTTCTGCGATCGATAAATGGGGAAAGAGGGCATGATCCTGAAAAACCATGCCAATCTTGCGTTCTTCCGCCCGGACATCCCGTCCAGGTTGAGAAAGCATATTCCCGTTGAGACCAATGCTGCCGGCCTGAAGAGTTTCAAGCCCGGCAGCCAGTCTCAGAAGGGTTGTTTTACCGCTGCCAGATGCGCCCAGAAGACAGAGTATTTCCCCGTCCGCCGCCGACAGGCTGATGTCGGTGAGCACTTTTTCGCTGCCATAGGCATGGGCGATATTGCTGAAATCCAAGGGCATGCGCGACTAATTGGCTCGATTGAGGCTAGAATTGCGATTGAGGCGCAAAATTACTTTGCGCAGGCGAGCGCTATTTGTATCAAGTGTAGAATGTCAGTCACCCAAAAAGATCATGGTTCCTCAGGAATACCCCCCAGTGGGCGTCCGCGGTTTGCTTCGACGCTCGGCTGGCCTGTGGCGACAGCCCTGGTGGCACTTCTTGTCGCGGCCCCCATTTTGGCCGTGCTCTGGAGTCTGACACAGACAAGCGGGGATGCCTGGGTTCATTTGGGCAGCACCGTCTTGCCCGGCTATGTGGGGAACACGCTCCTTCTGATGGTGTTGGTCGGCATCATGACCATCCTATTGGGCGTGGGCAGTGCCTGGCTCATCGTCTCATTTGAGTTTCCAGGTCAACGCATCTTGAGTTGGGCTCTGGTGCTGCCACTTGCGATGCCGGGCTACATCATCGCCTATGTCTACACAGACCTTTTGGAGTTTGCGGGTCCTGTGCAGACTCTGCTCCGAGACATCACTGGCTGGCAGGCGGGCGATTATGCCTTCCCGCCGATCCGCTCTCTAGGCGGCGCAGCGCTCATGTTGAGCCTCGTTCTTTATCCTTATGTCTATCTCCTCACCCGGACCTCCTTTCAGCGCCAGTCTGTTGCGCTTGTTGAAGCAACCCGCGTACTGGGCGTGTCGCCCACTCAAGCTTTTTTGCGTGTTGCACTCCCCTGTGCGCGTCCAGCCATTGCGGGGGGCGTGGCACTCGCCCTCATGGAGACCATTGCTGACTATGGTGTGGCCGACTATTTTGGCGTCTCGACACTGACAGCGGGGATCTTCCGTACCTGGCTTGGTATGGGAGAACCGGTTGCCGCTGCACAGATTGCCGCCGTGCTCTTTCTCTTTGCAGGCGCACTTGTCGTGCTGGAGCGCTTGAATCGCCAGGGCACAGTGGCCAACCCGCTCGGGCGTGACGTGGCCGCCGCGCGCATCGTCCTGCCCCCGTTGAAAAGCATCGCAGCGCTTCTCGCCTGTGCGTTGCCAGTGACATTTGGCTTTCTCTTGCCCGCCTTCGTGCTGATCCGCTATGCCATCAATGTGGGGGATCCGCTTCTAAGTTCCCAGTTCCTTGCCTTCGCGGGAAACTCGCTCACGGTTGCTGCGGCCGCGGCGCTCATTGCGACGGGCATCGCGCTGTTCCTTGCTTATGCAGAACGCAGAGATGCGTCAATGCAGAACCAGTTGCTCATTCGTTTGGCGACCCTGGGCTACGCACTGCCAGGCGCCATGATTGCCATCGGGATTCTCGCCCTAGCGGGCACGCTTGATACGAAGCTCGCGATATTCATGCGGGACACGCTGGGCATGGAACCGCGATTGCTGCTGACGGGCACGATTGCGGGTCTTCTCTTTGCTTATGTGGCGCGTTTCCTGACCGCCGCTTTCAACAGCACCCAGGCGGGCCTCGAAAAAATCCACGGCACCCTGGATGATGCGGCCCGCATGCTGGGCGCAGGGCCCGGACGGGTGTTGACCGCAATCCATCTGCCTTTGTTGCGGGGCCCGCTGCTCGCTGGTTTCCTGCTGGTGTTTATCGATGTGATGAAAGAACTGCCCGCCACGCTCCTGCTGCGTCCCTTTAACTTCGAAACGCTGGCAACGCGCACATACAGACTGGCATCTGATGAGAGGCTGGCAGAGGCATCCACCGCCGCTCTGCTCATCGTAGCACTCGGTCTCATCCCCACCATCATGTTGAGCGTGTCGATTGCACGCTCAACATTCAGGCGATAACAAGCGCGCTTCTTAGCTGCCAGACAGAACCAGGTCTTTCTTCAAGTGTTTCCCAGCAACGTAATAGTGGAACGCTGCCCAGATATTCACAAAGGTGAAGATAACCAGGCTGTAGCGAAGCGCTTCCTGGCCATAAGTGGGTTCAAGTAAGTCCGTCACCACACCCACGAGCGTCGGACCGAGGCCAAGGCCAATAATGTTGATGATGAAAAGCAAGATGCCCGCAGCAACAGAACGCATTTTCAGCTCAACCAAGCCTTGGGTCTGACTGAACGTGGTGGCCTGATAGAAGTTGCCCAGGAAGATCGGAATGATCATTGCGATAAAGGCAATGGTCGCAGTCCCGGCCAGATAGGCATAGACGCTAAAGGGTATGGAAATCACCAGCGCGACCGCTGTCGTCCAGAGGTACCAGCGCGTGTCTTTCGCCCCAAACTTATCGGCAAAATATCCTCCAAGCGCAATCCCAAGGCCGCCTGGAATGCCCAGAATGAGCCCGAACCAAGTGCCGATCTCACCAGTTCCCAAACCGAAGGACCGGACGAGGAAGGTTGGTACCCAGGTGACAACCCCATAACCAACGAAGGCTGTGAGCGCTGCAGCAAAAGCCAGATGGCGAAAAGATTGCTTTTTCCAGAGGTAAGAAAGTGTGTCTCCGATGGAGGGCTGTTCCCCAGACGCGACGCGCCCCTCGGCCATGCCGCGCTCTGGTTCTTTGATGGCAAACCGGACTAGAAACGCGAGTAGAATGCCTGGAATGCCGACGACAAAGAATGCCATTCGCCAGCCGAAAAATTCATTGATCCAGCCACCCGCAAAAAGACCGAACATGATGCCAACAGGAATACCGAGTGAATAGATGCCAAGCGCTGTCGCCCGACTTTCTGCCGGGAAATAGTCGGCGATCATAGAATGGGCGGGCGGGCTGCAGCCTGCTTCGCCGACACCAACGCCGATACGTGCGATAAGCAGGTGCCAGAAATTGAGCGCAAGACCAGAGATTGCTGTCATGAAGCTCCAGACGCCAAGCGCGAGCGCAATCAGATTCCGGCGGTTGCCGCGGTCAGCATACCGGGCAATAGGGATGCCGAGCGTCGCGTAAAAAAGAGCAAACGCGAACCCGGTCAAAAGCCCCATCTGAGTATCATTGAGGCCGAGCTCCAATTTGATGGGCTCAATCAGGATCGACAATATTTGCCGGTCAATAAAGTTGAACGTGTAAACAACGACGAGCAGACCAAGCGCCAGATGGCGTCCGGCATGGCTCCGTCCCTGAACGGTAGCGTCGACCATAATTCTCCCCCCGAGAAATCTAATTCTGCAACCCTAGCAGTTTTTCTGCAGGGGGGAAGGCTAAGCTCATGCTGCCCGTAGATGTTTTGGTGGTGCAATCCGCTCCAGGAGCGCCGCAAGCGCGGGCAGCCCGACAATGGCGCAGATCATATTGGCAATGAACATGAAGGCGAGCAGCGCGCCCATGTCCGCTTGAAACTGCAAGGGCGAGAAGACCCAGGTTCCGACGCCACCTGCCAGCATGATCGACGCGTACACGACCGCCATGCCGGTGCTCAACAGAGCGCCATGATAGGCGTCGGCGATTGCAAACCCTTCGCGCTGGAAAATGCGGATCTGGCTATAGAGGTAGAACGCGTAGTCAACGCCAATGCCTGTGGCAAGTACAAGCACGGGGAGGGTGGTGACCTTGAGGCCGATACCAAACACCACCATAAAGACATAGCCCAGCGAGGTCGCGAGCAGGAGCGGCACGCAGCAGCAAATGATGGCCCGCCAGTCCACATAGGCGATCAGGACCAGAATGATGATGGTGAGGAACACGTAAATCAGAAGGGGCGCTTCTGACGCCTCCACAACTTGGTTGGTCGCGGCAATCACACTGACGCCGCCAAGACCAATCCGCGCATTCACGCCGTCGAGAGGGTGTGCCGCCGCATAAGCGGTGATTTCATCAATCAGCCGATCAATGGTCTCTGCCTTGTGGTCAACGGTATAGATAAAGAGAGGCAGGATCGTGCAGGTATCGTTTAGCAGCCCGAGGGCTGGATCAACTTGCGCCGTGGCGGAAATAAGCTGCCGCTCTGTCCCAGGCAGATTGCGCCATTTCAGATTGCCCAGTGCCGAAATGGAGGAGGCAATGCGAGCGGTGGATGCGAGTGAATCGACTTTCAGGACCCCATCAATTGACGAGAGATCCCTCGTCATCGCGTCCAGATATTTCATATAGCCTGGATTGATACAGGCATCCTGAGGTGTCTCGAGGACAAGTACGAGGACATCCGTTCCCACATCGAAATTCGACGTGATGAAGGCCGTGTCCTGATTATATTTGGAATCGGGTCGCAGTTCAGAGGCAGCTGGTGTGAGGTCGCCTACGTGCCTGTATTGTGCCCCGATCGCAGACCCGACAAGCACGACAACCAAACCACCGGCAATCAGAGGTGCGGTTCCGGGCTTCGCAACGCCTGCAATCCAGGTCATGATCCGCTCACGGAAAACACGGGCCTTAATGAAGAGCCGTACCTGCTTCTCATCCCTGCGAAAGTAGGATGCAAGCAAAGGCAACATGATGAGGTTGGAGATGATTTTAAGGCCAACGCCTATGGTTGCGATAATGGCGATGTCGCGCACAACGCCAACAGGGATCAGATAGAGCGTGATAAAGCCTACCAGGTCCGTGATGAGCGCCATGGAGCCAGGGACCAAGAGCCGTCGAAATGTTTGGCGGGCGGCGTTGAGGCCATCGGATCCTTTGGCAATCTGGGTTGCGATCAGATTGACCTGCTGCATGCCATGGCTAACCCCAATGGCGTAGACAAGGAAGGGGACGAGGATGGCGAGCGGGTCAAGTCCCATGCCAATCAGATTGAGCACACCCAATTGCCAAACGACAGAGACAAGCGAACAGCCAATGGCAAGGGCGGTTAGAATAAACGACCGGACATAGGCAAAAACAGCAACGCCTGTGATCACAAAGGCAAGCAAGAAGAAGCTCGTTGCAATGATGGCGCCCTCGGCAATGTCGCCGATAAACTTGGGAAACCCGATAATGGCGACGTCGCTTACATCATCGCTGAAGGGCGCTCTGATTTTGGTTTCCAACAGGCTCGCCACATCAAGCGCCGTCGACTGCGCGCTTTCAATGTCACCAGATGCGCCGCCGGGCGCCTTAATCTCAAAGGCAACAAGAACAGATGTTTCGTCTTCTGAAACAATGGCGCCAATCCAGTCACCTGCAATTGTGCGCGCCCGAATGCCTGCAATGTCTTCGTCTGTCAGGCGCTCAGGCGTGATGGTGCCGGGGATCAGGTCTTCCATCTGGAAGCCGAATTCATCAATCGTCAGCGCGCGGGTGGTCGGATACCAAAGGGAATAGAGACGCGAACGGTCGACGCCAGGAAGATAGGAAATTTCTTCTGTAATTTTGTGCAGGCGCTGCAGAATTTCCTTGTTCCATATGGTGCCCTCCTTCGCCTTGAGAGCCACAAGCACCAGATTGGCGCCTGGCATTTCCTGCTGATACTCAAAATAGGTCTGAAGATAGGGATGTTCAGTCGGCACCTGTTTCAGGAACCCCGCTTCCAGTTTAAGGCCGGTCGCGAAATATCCGGTGGCGATCGTAAAGATCGCCATGACGATCAATATCGCGAACCGAAATCGGAAAATGAACTCTTCGAACGCCTTAACCATCAGCTTCCCCCACCGTCAGCTTCCCCAAAAGCTGGTCATCCCCTACGCCTGCCACGGCGGATCAGTGGGTGGGAGAATGACAGCAACCGGGGCGCCCAGCAAGAGGAAGAGGGCCAGAACGAGACTTGGACGCGACCTGAACGCACACAGATTTAAATGGCTATTGGCAATTGCGTTTGGGCGGTCATGTGTGAACAATCGGCACCTCAAAGGCCGCAGGAAATCAGAGGCGCAGGCCAGCGGGTAAGGGGAACTGATCATGCTCAAAGGATTTAAAAAAGCCGCATTGAAGGCAATGGGTGCTGGAAAGAAGGAGCAGTCGGCGCATCAGGAGTTTGACCGCACGGTTGTCGCGGCGGCAACGCTCATGGTGGAACTCGCCCATCTCGACACGGACTTCGATGACAGCGAGCGCAACCACATCATCGACATCATCCGCAACCGTCTGGAATTGCAGCCTGACCAGATCGAAGAACTGCTCTCAGTGGCAGAAGAGCGGCATGAAGAGGCTTACGCGAATTGGATTTTCACAAAGACGATCAAGGAAAACTTTGATGTTGCCGAACGCGGCGAGCTCATGACCTACCTGTGGGAAGTCGCGCTGGCAGACGGTGAGCTGCACGATCTTGAAGCGGATCTGCTTCTACGCATTGGCCAGGCCATTGATCTACCCGAACATGAGCGCATCAAATCCTTGTTGCGGGTGACAGCACGCCTGAACGCCTCTTAAGAGCCGATAATGCCTGGAAGCAGGGTGTCGAGCAGGTCCTCGGACGTCCCCCAATCATAGTAGCTGATGGTCACCTTGTTATGCGCGATGCCATCAAGAGCACAGATGAGCGCATTGAGCTTAGCCGGTGCGGGGGCCGGTATAGGAGGGTTGCTGGCTGCTCCAATCAGATCTACAAAAACAGCGTAGCGTTCGACAATCGCGCTCGCGTCCAGGAAAGCTCCCACGTCAGCTTGCGAAACGCTATCTGACATGAACACCATGTCGTAGCGGTCATCGTGGGTTTCCCAATACTCAATATAGCAAAGGCAAGCGGTCTTCAGTCGTGCTTGAGGTGAGAGCCTTGATTGGGCGATCTCATCAATCTGACTAAATAGATCGATGAAAAACGTTTCCCAGATATGCTGCAGAATATCCCTCTTGGCCGTGAAGTAGGCATAGAGGGTTTTTGGCGTAACGTCGGCTTCCTTTGCAAGGCGACGCATTGAGACAGCTGCCACGCCCTCCTTCTGAAAAAGATCATTTGCTATTGAGGTGATGCGTGCCCGTTCGTGCTCGACGTCTGCTTGCGCTCTTGGCGGGCGACCCCGCCGTTTTTTCTCGGCCACAACATCCTCTTGAAATTGGGAACTGAAGAATTAAATATAACGCGTGATACTTAAATTGAAAGGAAAAACCATGAATGTCTCTTCTCACGTGGCGTTCAAAACGGTTCTGTTCCTCGGGGGTGCCTTCATAGTAATCACAGGCTTAGATACCGGGTTGGGAGGCATGCGGACTCTGGGTTGGCTTGGTCCCAACGAGTTTGTAACGATCACAGACGCGAATGCGTTTTCGGTTCAGGACAATCATTCAAAGTTTTTGGGAGGTCTCTGGCTCGGCGTTGGCCTGACCTTCTGGGCCGGGTTTTTGAACCCCGTCCGTTTTGGTCAAGCACTTCACGTAGCCTTCGGCTTGATCTTTCTGGGTGGTCTGATGAGGGTCGCCTCCGGCAACCCAGAAATTATCTTGAGTGCAGACATATTTGGCTCATGGGTGGCCGAGCTGGTCGGCATGCCGATCCTCTATGTGTGGCACCGCCACTTGCTGCGCGGCGGTGCCTCAAATCTCGACTGACAATGACTATGGAGCGACGATCAGAGTCTCCACAGTGCCAAGCTTATCAGCGTGCAGCACGACCTGATTGCTAGGCTTAAGGAAAGCACCGCTTGCCTTTGCATCTTCAATAACCGTTTCAATGACCCACTGAACAATGGAGCGATCCCATCCGCCAAAGAGCCAACTGAAGACGGCACGAACATAGACAGAGAGCCCGATTTCGCCCTGAAAGATGGTCCCGCTTGGCGTGCCGCCAAGCAGAGCGGTGCGAAGGGGGATGGTACCATTGTCGAGTGGCAGCATGACCGGCGTACCTCGATAGTCCCAGACCACATCGCGACGCTGGTCGATCTGAACGAGCATCTCCTCAAAGTCCCAGACCGCCTGACGCTGGAAGGCGCGTTGTCGCTCTTGGCCATCAACAGATAGCGTCAGCTCAATGTCAGGCACAAAACTCCTCCGGTCGCGGGGAATAACAAACAGATCGCCGATCGGCAGGAGCCCTAGCGCACTCTTGCCTGTCGTGAAGCCCTTGCCTGAGGCCGGATCGAAGGGGTCAATATGACGGAGAAGCGCCGCGCGTTCCGTAAAATCATTGCAAAGAAAAAGCCCCACATGTTCCGGTGGGCTGCTCAAGTCAATTGTTTCAAAGCCGACGAAACAGAGCTCGACTTCAAAGTCCAACAACCACTCATCAGAGTAAGTGAGCTCGCCGCTTCCAGTAGGTTGAACCGCTTTGGTGAAAAGAAAGGGGCCGTCTTCAACTGTAGCTTCTTCCGCGTGCTCCGGAAAGTTTGTGCCCGCCGCGATATGTCGATCCGTCAGCGCGACCGGTATCAGCAGATCTGAGGCCTGCGCCTCAAACCGGGCACCGGATGCGGCGATCAAGGCGTCGAGACCCTCAAACCCCAGCGCCTGAAACGCAGCGATGGGGTCATCTGGTGCACCGGTCAGAACCACACCGGAAACTGCACCCTCCTCATAGCTACTGACTGAGACCAGCTTTGATGTCCCGTCAATATTGACGCGTGCAAGCGTCAGAGCTTCTGAAGGTGCTGCGATTTCGACGGTTGCAGAAGACGCCGCTGCCTCCTCTGTGAATGAAATTTGAGCGGCGAGGGCGACTGCGGCAAAACCAAACAGGATAGGCGAGAAGAAGGGTTTCATCTGGCAAGAACTTTCAGGGTTTAGGAACAACGGGATCAGGCGATGAGTAGGTAAACGCCAACGCTATTGATGATGAACAGGATGGTACCCCCGCCAAGGTTGGTGTCCACGAGATACGTCTTTCCGAAGAGCTTCCAGCGCCAGGGTTTGATCCCATTCACATCTTTCAATGATCCTTCAAACAGGCTCATCGACCCAAGTGTCGCATAGAAAGCGATAAACCAGACATAAAGCAGGCAAACCGCAATCCAGGTATGGGTTGTCTGGTCGGCCACCGGCATCCAGAGCAGCGCCAGTATGATGATCGACACGCCCGCTTGAGTGAGTACCTGCCAGACCACATGGAAGCGCGCGTGCGGCGTCCACAAGGGATTGGTTGCGTGGGTCTTGTTAAAGTCTGCAACCATCGGGCCAACGCTGATGGCGACAGCGATCAGGGAGAAAATAATACGAGCAACAAAGATCGGGTCCATGGTGTGATCCTCCTGAGCATTTCCAGGTGACGTGGAGACCGGTTCACCGTCCGGAAATGCGGTAAAAAAATTTAGATAAGACCGGCGTAAGAGCCGCCGTCGAGTTGAAGGTTTTGTCCGGAGATGAAGCCTGCTTGAGCGCTGCAAAGAAAGGCACAGGCATCTCCGAATTCAGCAGGGTCGCCAAGACGCTTTGCGGCAATGGTCTCCGCCATTTCCGCACGGGCTTCGTCACGCGTAATGCCTTTGAATTGCATGGCGAGCTGAGCCATCTGTTCCTGCCGGTCCGTATCAAACCGCTCAGGCAACATATTGTTGAGGGTGACGTTGAATTGAGCGACGTCTTTTGACAGCCCTTTTGAAAGGGCGGTGAGCCCTGACCGCGCGGCCGTGGAGAGACCCATCGCACTGTGGGGTGACTTCACCATGGCAGAGGTGATGTTGACGATCCGCCCAAAGCGGCGCTCTTTCATGCCGCCAATCAGCGATTTGATCATAAAGACAGGTGCCAGGAAGTTAGCATCGAGGGCGGCCTGCCAGTCTTCCAGCTCCCACTGTTCGAATGCGCCGGGGGGTGGGCCTTCATTATTGTTGACCAGAATATCCGCGTTAGGTGCGACGGCGATAAGCTTGGCCCGGCCTTCTTCTGTATTGAGATCACCGGCAATCGCAGTCACTGTGCCGGAGCCGACAGCCTCAATCTCCGATTTAGCATCGGCTAGCGTATGTTCCGCTCGGCCATTGATCACGACATTGACGCCTTCGCGCACAAGCGATGCCGCGCAGGCTTTGCCGAGACCACGAGATGACGCGCAGACGATGGCTGTCTTTCCCTTAAGCCCGAGATCCATGAAGGAGTTCCTTTTCTTTGTGTGAGAGAAGTGAGGTCAGATCGCTCGAGAGTTGTTCATCCGAACAAACCGACTCATATCGTTGCGCGATATGCCGGTCCGGGCGAATGAGAAGGGCGCCTTGATCTGGCAGGTCGGAAAACCCGTGCCACTCGGCATCCGTCTCAAAGTTGAGCCCGTCGACCAGCAACTCGATGGGCGCCGTGGACCTCTCAATTAGGTTTGCCCACTCACCACCGTCGGGTCCTACCAGCAGGGTGAAACGATCCATGGGAACCAGAGACATCAGCGACCTTGTTTCGCCATCCTTCTGGACCCATTGGTGGGGAAGAATTGCGCCAGTCTGTGTGGACGGGATGTAGCGACTGATATCTATGGCCGCATCTCTTTCGAGCGGCTCTGCATCTATAATTGCGTCTGACACATATCGATATCCAAGCTGGAGATTGAGGCTGTCAAAGTGCGGCCGTTGAAGTTCGATGGCCGGCGCGAGTTCAGGAAAAGCCGCAGGGTCATGACACATTGCGTCAAACCGCTCTCGCGTCTTCTCTGGATCAGCGCCGTAGAGGGCGGCAAAGAGGTCGAACATCTTCCCAGCATTCTCAAGACTCTGTTCCGTATTGA